TGATCGTCGGGCGTGGAGAGCGGCGCAGGGACTTGCCGACGAGTACTGGAAGCGCTGGGTGAAGGAGTACCTGCCGACGCTGGTTGCGCGCGGAGACTCAAGGGACGTGCAGCAGCGCCCGGTACAAGAAGGAGACCTCGTCGTGGTGGCAGACGGGACCATGCCGCGGAACGTGTGGCCTAGAGGAGTTATAACGAGGACCTTTCCCGGACCAGACGGCGTGGTACGGAACGTCGAAGTGAGGACCAGGGGCGGATTGCTGCGGCGGCCGGTCAGGAGGATCGCCGTCCTCCCGAGTGCAGCCTAGGCTCGCAAGGCTACGCCGGGGGGAGAATGTTACGGACAGCGAGAGACCCGCCGCCCCGTCGCCCCTTCGTTCCCCGTTACGTCCCGCGCACCCCGCACGCCGGCGCTGATCACGCGATATCGGGCAACCAATCAGCGCGCGTGCGGCGAAAATTGCCATCGGGCGGATAACCCCACGGAATGAAGCGCTCTCCTCGGGAATATAAGAAGGGCGATTTAGGCCTCGGGCGTTCATTCGGAAGCGGCACTCGAGAAGACAACAAGGAAGAATCAAGACAGAAAACCTGGAAGAAGACTCCCCTCTGTACAATAGTGATTTAGTTAATAGTGCCGAACCCTTTGTAAATAGTGAATATAGTATAGTTAAAAGTACCATCTTTTCTTCGAGCAGTCCCCTAGTATAGCTAACCTCACACCGCCAGTTAAAGTATAAATACAGTCCACTACTCTCCAACCACTTTAGTCAGCTACGTCGGATGATGAATCTTTTTATTCTGCACATGATTCAGATGTCTCGTTCGAGTCTTTTAATTATACTAATAGCTTGCCCTCCCTCCGCGATGAGCTTATTAATTTACTTACTCCTTGTAAAAATTTTCTAAATGTATGTCATGTTAATGCTCAGAGCATACCGGGTCATTACTCTTATTTTGAAGAAGTTTTTTCTATAGATTGTGTTCATGCAATCTTAGTATCAGAAAGTTGGCTAAAGCCTTCATTAATGTCCAGCATGTATCCCTTAAATAACTTTGTTCTTGTGCGTAACGACCGGACTGAAAAAGGAGGTGGAGGTGTCGCCATATACCTGAGAGCAAATATTCCTTATAAAACAATTTTAGCTTCACCATCTCCTTATTCTGCCTCATTGGAGTTTCTGTTTCTGGAAATCGATATCAAAGGTGTAAAGGCAATTCTTGGGGTAGTATACTGCCCACCTGCTATTAACTTTTTCAACGCTTTTGAAAGCGCTCTCTCTACCATTTCATCTGAGTACACGCACTGCATAATAATGGGTGATTTCAATACTGATTTGTTGAGAAATTATTCTCGGTCTCAAAAATTTCGGTCAGTCATAGAGTCAGTCGATCTCCACATTCTCCCCTTACAGGCAACTCACCACAACATTGACACTAATGACTCATGGATTGATCATATTATCACAGCTTCTCCCAATTATGTTATTAAGCACGGACAACTATCGGCTCCTGCTTTTTCACGACATGACCTTACTTATATATCATATAAGCTTGTTTCTCCTAAACACAATCCCGCAGTACTATATATTCGTAATTTCGCTAAAATGGATTCTGATAAACTTAAAAGTGACGCATATCGTATGGACTTAACCCCTGTTTTTAAATCAACTTCTATTGACGATAAAGTCTCCGTGCTTAATAACATAGTTCTTAGTCTGTACAACAATCATGCTCCTAAACATCAAGTAAGAGTAAAGCGTCCACCAGCCCCGTGGATGACTAGGGCCGTAAAGGTGGCAATGACCAGGCGAGATCGAGCATTTGTCAAATTTAAGAAGCATCGTACTCAGGAGAGCTGGGATTGCTACAAAATGCTGAGAAACAGATGCAATCAGATGGTACGAAATGCTAAACGCCGTTATATCCATAGCAATATTACAAATTCTTCGACCGCCGATGTGTGGAAATTTCTTAAAACATTTGGTATTAGTAAGGCTGTTACATCTGATCATGGTCCATCAATCACTCTGGATGAAATAAATCATCATTTTATCTCTACTCCTCCTTTGGATCCCACAGTTCGTTCTACAACAATAGCTTCCATTCAATCCATGCCTTCTCCTCCTATTCCTTTTTTTCACTTTTTACCTGTGACTGAAGATGAGATCAAGAAATCAGTTTTAGCTATTAAATCCAAGGCTGTGGGTTGCGATGAGGTTAGCAAGGTTATGATATCCATGATCCTTGAGTGCCTTTTGCCTGCAATCACACATATCGTAAACTTTTCCCTTGACGCAGGACAATATCCTACTCAGTGGAAAAAAGCATTTGTGCGACCACTTCCTAAAATACCCAATCCCTTATTACCAACCCATTTTAGACCAATTTCAATTTTGCCATACCTATCTAAAGTTCTGGAAGCCTGTGTTCACAAGCAAATCTCTATGTTCATAACCAAACATAACCTGCTGAATAAATATCAGTCAGGCTTTCGAGCAGGTCATAGTACTACCACTGCCTTGATAAAAGTCACAGATGACATTCGAATGGGAATGGATGAGCAGAAACTTACAGTGGTAGTACTTGTTGATTTTTCAAGTGCTTTTAACACAGTCGACCACGATATCCTTATAGCCTTCCTAGCTAATCTTAGATTCTCAATCCCAGCCTTGGAATGGTTTTCATCCTATCTTCGCGGCCGCCAGCAATCAGTTCGATTAGGACAACAGTCTTCAACATGGGCTGACATTGAAACAGGCGTGCCGCAAGGCGGAATACTTTCTCCTATAATGTTTTCTCTATTTATAAATTCTATTACTTCAGTTCTCAACTGTTCGTACCATCTGTATGCAGATGATCTTCAGCTCTATGTGCAATCTAGTGTTAATGACCTTAACCATAATATTCACAAAATCAACCACAACCTTGATGCCATAAGAGATTGGTCGTACAGACATGGTGTTTCGGTTAACCCTTCCAAATGTAAGGTAATGGTTATAGGTAGTAGCAGAATATTAGCCAAGATTAATAACAATGATCTTTCTCCCGTATTTTACAATGGAACATTGCTGCCATTTTGTAAATCTGTTAAAAATCTTGGCTTATATATAGACCATACCTTGAGCTGGGGAGTTCAAGTTGCTGAAATAAGCCGTAAAGTTACTGCCACCTTACGATCTCTTTGCCGTCTCAAAAACTTTCTGCCTTTTAAAACTAAACTTCTACTTGTCCAGACTTTGATATTACCCATTATTGATTATGCGGATGTGTGTTACCCAGATCTATCTCAATATCTTCTCGATAAGTTGGAGCGCCTTCTCAACAATTGCATTAGGTTCATTTTCGGCTTACGTAAGTATGACCATGTTTCTCAGTACCGTTCTAAGCTTAAATGGCTTTCTATTCGTCAAAGGCGTAGCTCCCGAATTTTACAAGTACTATATTCAATTTTAAATGACCCAAATTCTCCTTCTTATCTTAAGGATAACTTTCAGTACCAATATTCTACTCATGATAGAGTTCCCCGTTACCAAAACAGTCTTAAAATTCGTATTCGACCACATAAGAGTGGTTTCTTTAATTCCTCTTTTACTGTGCAGTCCATACTGCTCTGGAATGCCTTGCCTGTTCATATAAAAAAACCCAGTAACAAACAATATTTTAAAAGACTTGTTCGAGAATTCTTTAACAAGAATAATACCACCTGATTTATCCGATTTTTGTTTTTCTCACTCTTTCGCTTTGTAATTGATATTTTGTATAATATGTATTTTAATATGCATCATGTTATTTTATTTTTGTGTTATATTATTTTATATTTATTTAGAGATTTTGTATATATATGTATATTATATCCGTTTATATATTTTGTTTATATACATAAGTATATTATATCCGTTTATATTTTGTATATATAAGTATATTTTATCCGTTTATATATTTACTATTAATTTTTTTTCTGTTTATTACTAAGTAGATAATATTAAGTTTGTATAGTTTAAAAATATTTTATTTATTTGCTTTTTGTTATAAGATATAATGTTTTTACTTATTTATTAATTAATGAGTGGTGTTGCACCTACCACAGCTTCTCAAATCATCCAGGGTTGACTGGTAGAGAATGCCACAAGGTATTAAGTCCGCCCTTTATATCCCTTATTATAAGGTAGATGTAAAAAAGAATAAATAAATAAATAAATAAATAATTTTATAGTGAACACTAATTGTATAAAGTTATAGTTTTTAGAGTATAAATAAACCCATGTCCCGTTTTGAGTTAAAAAATAAATGGTCAGCTTAGTTAGAGAGTCGGGTAATAACCCGCAATGCCGCAGATATGCCAACTTAGACGTCCAGGCCGAATTAGTCGCCTATAGGCCGACTTACCCGACCGGGCCTTATTAGACGACCATAGACCAAATTAAACGCCCAATTCAAACCAAACCTTACATGCTAATTGTGCTTAATTTTTATATTTGCATTTACTTCAAAGAAAATACACACAAAAAGCTTCATCGCGCAGTAAAAAACACAACAAATATATGTATAACTAATACGAAAAATTATACCCAAAACAAACAAATAATATTACCTATAAATAACCTAATAAATAATAATATTATAATTTTATCGACTGATAAGATGACGTGAGCGTGTGCGCTGGCCGACGCTCTGACTAACGACACGGGTTTCACGTGCAAAAGCTCAGCGCTCACTGACTCCAGCAAGCCCGTTCCGAAACGGAATTCCGTATGTATGTGGCGGGCCTTAGTTATGACATTGACAACAATTGACAATCAAGATCAAAAGTTTAAAATTTATCTTTCTTACAAATTTGAATTTATTTATTTAAAAATTTCATAAGGAGTACTCTTTTAATGTGTACATAACACGATTTAATATAATTATTGCGTATTTAATAATTTGGTAATTCAAATGTACCACAAATATTATATATTAACAATTAGTGTTGGCTTGCATCATAAATTTTCTTAAAAAATGATGCTAAATAGAAAGCGATTAATTCTATCAAATATAAATTTAAGTGGGCGATGCTACTGTAGATTTTTCTCATCACAAACAAATGTCGGTGAAATTGAGGTGCCCTTTTCTAACGGGTGAGATTTTTATTTTGAGGTTATAAGTTAAATTATAAGGTTAAAGAACACTCAAACTAGGAAATTAGTTTAAACAAGTGCAATGAATGTGTTTCTTCAATGCTTTTTTTTAAATTTACTTTTTATAATAATTGAAATTTCAATTCTCCTTTTGAAAGTACCTATAAAATATCTATTTATTTAGATTTTATACTATTTTTATTCTGTATTTTACTGTTTCAGTACAAAGTTAAAGTTGTCAACTGGTCGCTATGCAAGATTTGCTGATGGAGCTTGTGTTGCTACATTGGGCAATACCAGTGTGTTATCTACTGTAGTCTCTAAAGCAAAGCAGAGTAATAACTCCTTCTTACCCCTTGTTGTAGACTACAGACAGAAGGCAGCTGCTGCAGGTCGTATACCAACTAACTTCTTGAGGAGAGAATTGGGTAATTGTTTTATGTTATTTGTTGGGTGTAATATCTCATAATCTAAAGTATAAATAAATATGTAAAGATATGGAGAATTATTCCATAATTAGGATGTTACCGCACCAGTCAATTGAAGATTTTTTTTTATATAGTAATAGGGTGACAAATGAGCACACAGTCCACCTGATGGTAAGTGGTTGCTGAGGCCCATAGACATCTACATCTATCCTCATTTGTGAATCTAAATGCAGATATGTTGTCAGCCTTGAAGACTAAGATAAAATGCATCTTTTCCAGTAAAAAGGGTCTCTGGTACTCTGCACTCACCATACAAAACACAGTAGCATTCTGCTGCTATTTTACGCTGGTATTCTGTGAGAGTGTGGTCCTTCCCCGGTTGAGCCGACACATTCGTGCTACAACTATACTATAAATATAGCTGCAGCTTGGCTCTACCTTGTTGCTTAGATTAGTAGACGTTGGTCAATAGTTTCTACCACACTGATCTATTGATGGCCTTGATCGATGATAGAATGGAATAGTCAATGTCGATTGAGCTGCTTGGTTTTGTCGATCAGCTAAAGTTACCACACCAATTGATCTACATCAATTGACATCGATGAATGGCTTCGATCGGCGATCGGTAGATTGGTGTGGTAACCCTTACACAGAGTTGTAAAGTTCGGGGAGAAGAAATCATACTAAAACCAGCTTAAATATATAAATTTTATACCCATCCTTAGATTACTAATTACATGTTCAATTTTAGCAAATTAAGTTTTTAGGAATTACTCTGATATAAAACAATGCAAGCATGTCAATAAAATATGATATGTAGTGGTGGTAATTCCAAAGCTTAGTCTTTCCATTGTCAAGGGTAAATAATTGAAATGTCCAATCTATTTTAATCTGTGGTAAATTGTGTCATGAAAACTTTTCTTGGCAATTGCCATAGTAGATTTCTCACACTTTTGACACTACTCTGTGAATTTTTTACATCTGGTACAGCTTATTAAAGTCCACTGCTGAACATAGGCCTTCTTCGTAGGTCCCTCATCAAGCTGCTTGGCAACTGCGATTTTTTTAGATTTAGTTGTTATTAAGAAGATTCTGCTGTCTATCTCCTGATTTGTTTCCCTAAATTGATGCTTCTTATAAGATTTACCTAATTACTACTCTAGGGAGGAATCCACCTGACAAAGGTTTAGATGTCTCCCACCCTGAACTCAATTAGTTGCCATAGTGACATCAATTACTAATAATATTTCAAAACTAGATAGGTGTTTTATGTGGTGGGAGGGGGGGGGGGGGGTGTTCTACACTTTGCTTACTGGTAACTAGGCTGTTACTCTATAGTGCTTTTCAACCTGTGGCTTGCAACCCCAATGGGGGTCGCCAAGTCATACTTGGTGGGTTGCAATCGCAAGCCAAGTTAAAGTAAAAAGCAAGGGTTGTAGATCTTACGCTACAATAAAAATATAACTTTTTATATTACAACATTTTAGTGCGAAGTCTGTTTGTTTATTTTTAATAAATTGAGAAATTGTGGTTGTATATTTGAGACGTAAATAATCAAATTATTTTCTAATTGGAGCTGATTTTTCTTCTTAGTTTTTACATTTACCATTGAAGAGAATGTTAGTTCACATAGGTAGGAAGTGACAAAAAGTAATAATAGTTTTAAAGCTTCCCTTGCCAGCTCTGGGTATTCTTCTTTTCTCTTCATTCAGAAGATGTCAATAGTCGCCAATTTCTTTTTAACTTGTAAAGGATTTGCGAATTCCAAAACTTTGAATGGCACTGCTCTAGAACCTATCTTCCCCATCGGTTGTCAGTTTTTCAAGCTATATGACTTACCCTTTGCCACTTCTGCTTATTGATCTGAAGGGCTATGTAAGTTACTTCGTTCTACTCTAAAATAAAAAAAAAAATTTCAGACATGTGAAGTCCGCCAATATGCATTGAGACAGCATGTCAGATATTTCGTTGCCTTAAAACCCACTCAGGAGGCCTGTGCTCAGCTGTGGGACTTATACAGATTGTAACTAGTTCACTAGATATATCATCATTATGGATTCTATTATGCAGAGTTACTCTCAGCATAATCTTCTCCATAACTAGCTATGTAAACTTAAGCTTCCTCATATGGCCAGCAGTGAAGTACCATGTCCCAATTTAATATTATGTATATTTTTAATTTAAGTTGGGACATGGTACCCAGTTTTATAATGTTTTATATATGATATATCACTGGCCACACACACTGGTTGTAGTATTAGTACTCAATAGATGGAGTAATGACCTGGTAGGACATGCAGAAGGTCTAAGGATGCAAGTAGCTCACAACCATGCTTTGTGACGTTGCTTGGGGAAGGCATATGTTCAGCTGTGGACTTGTGAAGAGCTGTTGTGATGACGGTGGACCGAAATTATATAGAGAAATTAGTGATCTGCAAAATATACTTCAACATAATATATTTTACTCTTATATAATATTATATTAACCCATGTATAATATTTACAGGTCCAACAGAGCGTGAAATTCTCACATCTCGCCTTATAGATCGTTCCATTCGACCGCTATTCCCTCATGATTTTAGCTGTGATACACAAGTAGCATGCAATACGCTCGCAGTAGATGGAACTTACCCTCCAGAGACAGTTGCTATCAATGCTGCGAGTGCAGCACTTGCTTTGTCTGACGTACCTTGGAATGGACCAATTGGTGCCGTGAGGTTAATATCAATTCAATTAATATAACCCTCTCTGAAAGTTACAGATGTTTAATGATTAATGGTAGACTACAGACCAACATTTATCTTAAATACAACGTTTGTTTTGCAATTGTCAATCTAATCCCATGAGGATCCGAAGTATAATTTCACTAAAAATTATAAGAAATTGTATGTATGTGACACACAATTTTTTATACTTTTACATAATATATGTTGAATAACTAAACTGAAGTGGCAATTGGTTGGTCATATATGAAAATGTATTACATGGTAGAGCCATGCTGTATCTATATTATGGTTGTAGCACAAATAGGTCAGCCCGAATGGGGAAGGACACTCACAGAATACCAGCAGAAAATAGCAGCTCAATGCTACTGTGTTACATATGGTGTGTGCAAAGGTTCTCTATTCTATACTAGACCCGTTTTACTGTTCTTATCTTAGTTCTTGGAATGACAACGCATCTGCATTTTGATTCCTATTTGAGGATAGATGTAGATGTCTATGGGCATTCCTTGGGGATTAGTATGTATATGAATGATGTGATTAAATACGATTACTACTTGAATTTCAGAAATGTAAATAAATTGACTTCTTAATCACTTAAGAGGTTAGGTCTAGTCCGGATTGTGGTGCCACTCACGCGGAAACCGCGTTTGCATTCTGCAGGCTTCCGCAGTGCTTGGCACCATAGGTCGGCCGGATAGGAAGCGGTTTTTCTCAGCATCGCCGGACGATCCCAACGTCGTTGCTAATTCTGTCGCTGATGTGGTACTTTAGAGTATAGAACTTTTTATTCCTTCCTCTATGGTGCCCATCAAAGGCAGATTACTACAGTCATGGTTTAGTCGCTCTTGTAAAATAGCATCACGCTATAAGCAGGAGTGCTACCGGGCCTGAGCTGATACATTAACATCTCGGGATGTAAACAGCCCTTAAAAAGAAGTATAATTCCTCCTCCAGGTACTTTAAAAGAGTCATTGCCAAGGGAAAGTCAGAGCACATCGGCGGAATTGGCGAGAAACTATTTCGCTTTCCTTCGAGAACCCGTGCATTCTGGTCTTTCGCCAAGGCGTTCCAAGGGAATTTCTGTCAGCCATCTCTTTCACTGAGCGTGATTAGAATGGCTCTCCAGCACCTTAAAAACGGCAAGGCCCCAGGTGAGGATGGAATTACAGCGGAGCTTCTGAAAGCGGATGAAAAACCGGTACTTGAAGTCCTCCATGGTGGCATTACACCGGAGGCGTGGAGCAGAAGTGCGGTGGTCTTGTTCTTTAAGAAAGGCGACAACGTTCTCTTGAAGAACTACAGACCGATTTCCCTTCTGAGCCGTGTCTACGTGCTGTTTTTGAGAGTCATTACGAATCGTCTCGCGCGCAGACTTGACGACTTCCAGCCTCCCGAACAAGCTGGTTTCCGAAAAGGCTTTAGCACCATAGACCACATACATACCCTTCGGCAAATTGTACAAAAGTCAGAGGAGTACAATTTGCCTCTATGTCTGGCGTATGTGGACTATGAGAAAGCCTTTGATTCCGTCGAAATTTGGGCCAAGTTTACTGTCGGTATATCGAAGTGCTGAAGTGCTTGTACAGTAAGGCTACGATGGCTATCCGAGTACAGAACCAGAGTACGAAACTTATCCAATTGCAGAGAGGTGTAAGACAGGGTGACGTCATATCCCCGAAACTCTTCACCGCTGCATTGGAAGATGTTTTCAAGCTTCTGGACTGGAAAGGATACGGTATCAACATCAATGGCGAGTACATCACTCATTTGCCGACGATATAGTCCTTATGGCAGAATCGCTGGAGGACCTTAAGCACTATGCTCAATGACCTCAATAGTGCTTCCCAACGGATAGGTCTTAAGATGTACAAAACAAAAATCATATTTAATGTCCATGTCACACCTATGCCGGTAGTTGTTAGGAGCACTAAGCTCAAAGTTGTTGACGAGTATGTTTACCTGGGACAAATAGTCCGACTAGGTAAGTCCAACTTCGACCGAGAGGTCAATCGACGGATTCAACTCGGTTGGGTGGCGTTCGGGAAATTACGGCACATCTTCTCGTCAGGTATACCTCAAAACTCAAAACGAGACTGTACAACCAGTGCGTGTTGCCAGTGATGACATACGGAACTGAGACGTGGTCCTTCACTGCTGGTCGGATGAGGAAGCTCAAGGTCACTCAGCGAGCTATGGAGAGGGCTATGCTCGGAGTTTCTCTGCGTGATAAACTCAGAAATGAGGATATCCGCAGTAGAACCAGAGTGACCGATATTAGCCTAACGGATTAGTAAGCTGAAGTGGCAATGGGCCGGCCATATAGCTCGAAGAACCGACAACCGATGGGGAAAAAAGGTTCTCGAGTGACAGCCTCGTACCGGCAGGCGAAGTGTTGGGCGTCCCCCCACTAGATGGAGTGACGACCTGGTAAGATATGCAGGAAGTCGATGGATGCAGGTAGCTCAGGACCGTGCTTTGTGGCATTCCTTGTGGGAGGCCTATGTTCAGCAGTGGACTTGTGAAGGGCTGTAATGATGATGATGATGATGATCTCTTCCATCTCTGCACAGAGAGGATGACTCAGTGATGACTCAGTGGCTCATGCCGCAAAGGAGAAAGTCAATCTGCTAATCTTTTTCGGTACTCCTACTCCCTAGGCGTAGTCCCGAAATCATCGAAGACGTCTTTCGTTCACCCGATCCCTAAAAAAGGCGATCGCTCAGACCCGTCTAACTAGAGGCCTATCGCCATCACCTCCTTGTTCTCCAAAATAATCGAATCCATTATAGACTGCCAGCTCATGCGGTACCTTGAGGATTACTAGCTGATTAGTGATTGCCAATACGGTTTTCGTCGGGGTCGATCAGCTGGTGATCTTCTGGTCTACCTGACTCATAAATGGGCGAAGGCAGTAGAGTCCAAGGGGAGGCATTGACCGTTAGTTTGGACGGTTTCTAAAAGGCCGGCAATTCCCCTGGTGTTGCAGTTGTTCATGGGCGGCGGTAGTCTCTTACTATCAGGTGAGCCGTATGCTTGTTTGCCCCCTCTCCTATAAAAAAGTAACCATGATGACCTCTTTTCGAATAACCTATCCATTAAGTTGCAGACCAGAGGCTTGCATTCCATTCACATTTCCCACCAGAACCAACATTTAACAAAATCACTTCGTTTTCTGGATCGGATTGTGATCCTGTGTTAGGGTGCGTACAGATTAAGTAACATGTGGTGTAACTTTTGTTTTATAACACGTCCACATTATGTAACATTGTTTTTCAACATTGCAATATATAACAATACTGTACACATTAGAATAACAATGCAATATAACAATGTTATATGAGATTGTCGTATGACATTGTCGTTTGTCATTCTGCCGTACGAGTTATATAACATGCGTCACGTTATATAACACGTTTTACACCATTCAGCCTACACATTACTGAAACATCTTATGTTATATAATGTGTACGCGCCGTTAGATAATTCATCTAATGTACTAATATTTGTTGTAGCTTCCTCTTCTTCAGCAAGTTGTTGCTTGCCGTGTAGTGGTGGTGCAAGACTATTTTTTTTATAGGATAGGGTGACAAACGAGCACACAGTCCACCTGATGGTAAGTGGTTATTGTGACCCATAGACATCTACATCTATCCTCAATAAAGACTCAAGATGCAGATGCGTTGTCACCCGTGCCGTGAGGACTAAGATGGAATGCCTCTTTGCCAGTAAAAAGGGTCTCTGGTTCTCTACACTCACCATACGAAACAGCATCGTTAAGGTGCTATTTTCCGCTGGTTTTCTGTGAGAGCGTGGTCCCACCTCGGTCGATCCGACCCATTCGTGCTACAACTATACTACTAATATAGCTGCAGCATGGCTCTACCACGTAAAAAATCTACTACTATCTATCTACTATCTACTACCACATATCATCTTGTGAGTGCCGTAAGAGGCGGCAGAGGGAAATAAATGAGGAGAATAATAATGACTAAAAATAAAAATAAAAAACTATGCCAAATATCCTCCTATGAGGAAATCTATGGGGAGGCCTATGTTCAGCAGTAGTTTTTTTATAGGATGTAATGGTAACTTTTGCAAGTTGCTTAAGAATGGAAAGCTGTAAAAAAAAATCATTATGTTTTCTAGGTTAGGTCAAATTGACGACGAAATAATAGTGAACCCAACACGTCGTGACCTTGAAAAATCCTGCCTGAATTTAGTAGTTGCCGCCACTAAAATTAACTTAGTTGTCATGTTGGAAGGTTTCGCTAATGACATTTTGCAGCAAGACCTACTCAAAGCCATCAAATTAGGTATGAATGTAAGTTACAGAATATATTTATTAATAGGCTTAGACTAACTCGTAAGTGAAATTTTCTTGCTAAATATTATCTTTACTTGACCTCAACTTGAAAAATATAATCTTTAAATAAATTTTACCTTGTTGCATAGGAGAGTTTTTGGGTTGTTACCTTTCTCTAATACTAAGCAACAGCACCTATTGCTATATTCCCATTTTAAGAGTAAGAGTGATTTTTTTTATAGAATAAGGGTGCACACAGTTCACCTGATGGTAAATTAATGCTGTGGCTCATAGACCATCTACATTTATCCTCAGTTAAAAATCAAATTGCAGACGCATTGTCAGGACTAAGATGGAATGCCTCATTTCTATTAAAAATGGTTTCCGGTTCTCTAACCCCATCATATGAATGAAACACAGCAGCATTGTATACCATTAATTATTATGATTTTTATGTTTATAAATGATTGTTTGTTTACTTTCAGGTACTAAGGAAGCACAACACATAGTGAAAGCTATAGAGAAACTTCAGAAGGATCATGGGAAGAGAAAACGTGAATATGAGAGGCCACTGGTACTTGACCAGAGCATTGTTGACTCTATCAAATCACTTTCAACAATGAAAATAAGGGAGATATTAAGGTAAAATTTATTATGTCAATATTGGAATTGTCTGGTAGGTTTATGTAAATGGTAGGCTAACAAACCATGTGATCATAAATAGAATCAGGCGTTACTTTGCAGAAATCCATTATATTAAATATGTAAAAAATTAATTAGCTATGATCCGCATACTAAAATGTGTTTTGCTTAGTTTGAAGAGTTCCTCCCTCAATTTCGTGTAATATCCCTGTCACCACTCATCTCAGCGCCACTAATCCCAACATCACTTTTATTTTTTTATAGAATAAGGGTGACAAACGAGCACACAGTCCACCTGATGGTAAGTGGTTGCTGCAGCCCATAGACATCTACATCTATCCTCTATTAAAAATCAAAATGCAGATGCGTTGTCACCCGTGAGGACTAAGATGGAATGCCTCATTTCCAGTAAAAAGGGTCTCCGGTTCTCTACACTTACCATATGAAACACAGCAGTGTAAAGCAACTATTTTACGTTGGTATTCTGTGAGAGCGTGGTCCTTCCCCGGTCGAGTTGACCCATTCGTGCTGCAACTATACTACTAATATAGCTGCAGTATGGCTCTACCACATAAAAACTTCATTAGGAAAGACAAATAAAATGGTGTGTCTTACCTAGTTTGAAGAGAACATAATTTAACTATTATATTATTTATTATAAATATTAGATTTGATGTTAATTTTTGCATTTACAGTGACTTTAGCCACGACAAAACATCAAGGGACAATGCAATATCAGAGCTGAGACAAACAGTTCTGAACCAATTGCGGGACACCGAGGCCGACGTGAGCTTGTTGCAGGACTGCTTCAACTCGCATCTGAGACAAATATTCCGAGACATGATCTTCGAAACTGAGACGAGGTGTGACGGACGTGGCCTTGATGATCTTAGGAAAATTAATTGTGAGGTGAGCTTGTTGCACTGATATGAGATGAAATAAAGCTGTTCTAAAAACTTTTTATTTTTCGACGTGAGAAATTAAAATTTTCCTTATTCAGAAGTCAATATGATTTTTTATCGACTACCGTTTCAAAATGACGTTTCTTTGTCCATACAAGAATTTTTTTAAGTTAATAAATATTCTCAATCAAAGTCGAAAAAAGAATAGATACATAGGTAATCAAAGCATAATCTAGAATAAAATTACACAACAAAACAAAAAACAAAATTAATAAAAAATTAAAGGTATAGTGTGTTGCAGACCCGTCTCAGCGTAAGCAGACCAGTCCTCACAGGCAGCACTTGTTTACTGTATGAACACAAGATAATGTTATTCTTTTTGTTCATCATCGTAAGCTCATGACAGTCTAATGATAGGCATTTGGTCTTCCCACTCACCATATTGTGGCCGTAGTGCAAATGGGTCATGAGGCAAAATGTTGCCAGCAACTCATGACATTGTACTTAAGTAATGGAGAAGTCATTATGTAGAGTTAAGGTACACTAATAATGATCGATAGATGACATGTACCTCTAGCCAAGTCTTTTGCACTAGACAGGCCACACAAGGATCCATTCTGGGTCCACTGCTCTTCATTGTCCTTATTAACAATATGATAAATTACATTGAAACTAATTTACATGATGTGAAAGTGATAGTTTTCGCTGACGATGCAGATGCAGTTCTGTGGGCTAAAACATTGAGGTTAGCTTGACCAAGGAAGGACCAAGCAGTCCATGTAGTTCTAGAAGTGCAGCAGACGAACCGCTTCATAACCCTCTCAGAAGTGAAAAGAGGCCTTGCTCGCGTACTGTCGAAATTTACAGCTAGCGGTAACCATCTGAGTTACCACGGCTCACAGTACAGTGGCTGTGTAAAAATATCCACTACCCCATATCATCCCGTGAGTGTTGTAAGAGGCGACAGTGGGAAACAAATCAAATGTGCAGCAGCTTTTTCATAATAAAGACTAAAAAAATTATGGTTGCCAACGTGCTTGCCAAACTATTGGCAATTATGCCAAATAACATCATAGGGGTGTTATTAGGTGTTATAATATGTGTAACATTGGTAATCACTGCTGAAACTTTAATATGTGGTAATGGTGGCACTACCACATATAAATATAATATAGACTATAACTTTGCTTTACTTAGAAACAGTTGTCGATATGGTTTTTATATGTGATAGGGCCATGCTGCTGCTATATTATAGTTGTAGCACGAATGACCGGGGAAGGACAACGCTCTCACAGAATATCAGCATAAAATATCAACTTAATGCTGCTGTGTTTCGTATGGTGAGTGTAGAGAACGAGAGACCCTTTTTACTGGAAAGGAGGCATTCCATTTTAGTCCTCCGGGGTTACAACGCATCTGCATTTTGATTCTTAGTGGCGGATAGATGTAGATGTCTTTGGGCCACAGCATCCACTTACCATCAGGTGATCTGTGTCCTCGTTTGTCACCCATATTCAATAAAATATGGTTCTATTGTTGCAGGTGTCGCTGTATGAGCCTCTACACGGTAGTGCAGTGTTTCAGCGTGGGCAAACACAGGTGCTGTGCACCGTCGCCTTCGACTCGCCCGACAGTGCACTCAAGCTGGACACGCTCACTGCCATCACCAGGTACCGCTGCCACACCTGCCATACGTGCCCCTCCTCACCAATTCAATCCCTACTCAGGGCTTCTCTTGTAGGAAGGAATTAAAGGCGGCCTGCTACCAGTCCAGTGTGAAGGATTTCCTATTGATATGACTGTTTTGATGTTCTAGTGGTTCGAATTCCGTGTCGAGCCAAAATCAGTTATTGAGTTATTCTGTTAAGAAATTCTCGGCAACACCCCGGCGTCAGGAATATGGTGATGTTACACCCTCGGAAAGCATCTAAAACCGTTGGTCCATCGCCTGGTCTCTATCCGGTCGTGTCGGTTTACCGTCCTATCGGACTATGAAAGTGAGAAAATACCTTTGGCTTGCAGCATCACAGCCAAACGCGTAAGCAATGATCTAGTGAGTCATCAATGTAGTAAGCCGGTTTGACCGGGTAAGGACTACGCTCTTAAAGTATACCAGAGTAAAATAGCAACTCAATGCTGCTGTTTTGTATGGTGAGTTTAGATAATCGGAGACCCTTTTTACTGAATATGAGGTATTCCATCTCATAACCCAGAAGTGACAACGCATCTGCATTAATCAAGGATAGATGAGATGTCTATGGCCCACAGCATTCATTTAGTTTGTCACCATTATTCTATAAAAAATCAGCAAGATTCATTATGAAGTAATTATTTATTTAAAAAAAAAAGATATTTTTACACCACAACTACATGGTATTCGAGGAGATCAAATTTTGTATATTCAGTAAAATGTTACATGTTCTAGCGGCATTAAAGAAAAAAGCTTCTTCCTACATTACGAGTTCCCGTCATACGCGACGGGAGAAGTCGGCAGAAGCAGCGGTCCGGCCAGACGGGAAGCTGGTCATGGAGCCCTGGCAGAAAGAGGTCTAATGCCAGTTGTACCTCAGCAACCTTATACGGTTCGTCTTACTGCAGAGGTTCTTGAGTCTAATGGTAAGTTTTTGTTCTAGTCGATACTTTTAATTATTAGCGATTCCTTGTCCTCTTTGAGATTCGTATTAAGAGTTCCATAGTATAAAGTTTTAATTTTGATTTTTAAATTTTTATTGGTTATTGTATATTTTTCCCAAAATTTTTTTTCGACAAATGACAATAAACTTAATAAATAAAAATTTATTACGTTTTAATTTATTTTTAGGTTATGTTTATAATAATTTGTAATTTATGTTATGAATCTGCCACCACCTCCTTCCAATATTGTTTAATAATTTCACTTTTCTTGTGTAGTATTAGTAAGTTTACATTTAAAATTAAGTTATGTTGCTAGGAATGTGGGTAAAATAATAAAGCACAATAAGAAGAATTGAGGGGGAAGTATAATCTCCTACTTGTTCTAGCAGTATAAAGTATCGCACAGTCGACTATGAGGGATCAGTCTGTAATTCTATGAGTCTCATGTCGTAATTATGCCCGTTGGGCTAAAACATTACATCTACACTGAGATTCTGCTTAAGTAAGACAAGTGAAGTGGTTCTGTTCGTGAAGTAGTTCTTCTAGTGTAAGCAAGGGAGGTGGTGTTGCTGAGAGTCTGCCCTACGGTGTATTGTACGGTATTTTGTATTGAGATGACTGGTGTTACCGTTACTTTGCACACTTTGGTGTTATCATGTAATTATGTCCTTCACGTTAAACCAATGTGTGATTGTAACTGGTACATATTACGATTGCTCGAACTGTATTTGCTTTATACTGAATGTGTAGTGCTGTATGCTGTCTTATTCCTGATAATGATTAATTGCGTAAACAGGAGAGCAAGTTGAACATCCGCTCTCACACTTTTATTATTTTTAACAATGAACTCTTTAGAGTAAATTCTAATACGAGTAAAATTATTTTATTTAAATAATTTTGAGAATAATTTCTAACATCAGAAGTGGAATAGTTTTTAAAAATATATTATATTTGTGAAAATGTATTATTGTAATTACCTCTGGCTGTCATTAAATAAATAAATAAATACTCTAAGCTATTGCTTAATATAAAATATGTTCGGTGGAACGATTGAGGAAGGACCACGCTCCCACAGAATACCAGCGTAAAATAGCAGCTCAATGCTGCTGTGTTTCGTATGTCGTGTGTTTTCGAGTGTAGATAAACGGGGACCCTTTTTACTGGAAACGACGCATTTCATCTTAGTCTATTTTCAATTGAGAATATATGTAAATGTCTATGGCAGCCCGTACACACACAATCTCGGTTGCAATCACACAGTTGTGATCGCGATCATGGATCACGGGATCGCAGCACAACATTTCACGTTCAATCTTGATTTCTTCAGTCCGTGTATCGTAACCGCCGCGTTAACAACGTCTTTTGTCTTGTCATATTAAAAAGTACTCTGTGGTCATGAATTTACATGAGGTTAAAGCTGTAGTATCAATTGTTTTGGTCTTTACTTTGAAGAAAAGGCAGTGGGTTAAACAGTGGTTACTTAGGAGAGAAATGTACACTCGCTTAAATCTACTAAAATAAATTCAACTAACTGCTGAAACTGAGAGATTATAAAAACTACTTCAAGATGGGGGAAAATGTTTCGATGAGTTACTAGAAATGATAACTCCATATATTTTTTAATTATATTTATATTATTTGTATTATATTTATGCTGGGCTCTAATCCATAGCTATGTTAGTTTCCAAAATTATGATAAAATCTTCTGGTTAAAAAATTGAGGTAACGAAGGTGAATTCGCCGATTCAATCGGCGGCGACGGGGAGCGCGTGTCATCGACGCCCATTTTCATTGAAGCGCACAGCGAGACTGATGCGATTGGGGTTACCAGATGAAAAAATCAAAAGTCCGGAGAAAAGGCTTGATTTCCATTGAAAAATCCTGAGATTTCTTACATTTTGAGAAATTTCTCTCCAACGAACTTAACAATTTAAAAAAAAGTCATAATATTATAGGCGGGGACACCGCTCTTATGACAGCAGTGTCACACATTCACTCAGTTCCACCCCATTGCGAACATTGGACTGTTTTAACCATACTCAAGTAAATCATCATCAATCAATCTCAATTTAAAATGAAATACTCATGCTTTAACCGTTTTCAAGACAATAATAGGTATTTCACGATTACCAGAGATAATGCGTATTTATCAATATATATTTACAATTACAGCCCAGAATGCAAACGTAGAATTTAATTTCATATAATTTGAAGAGTTCAACATGTGGGGCATTATATAAATCAAAACTTAAAGAAAAAACCTTACTTAAAAAGGTAACTTCACATATTAAGTATGATAAAACTGTTTAAGTACCTACTTGGATAAATAAGTTTAGATTTTAATTGTGGAATTATTACCAAAGGAAAATTATTTTTAGTTTGTTTAACTTTTTATTAAAGAGATCTTTAAAATGTAAGCTGTATTGTATTGAAAATTCTAAAAATCCTGAGATTTCATGAGATTTGCAAAATCCAGCCGCAATCCTGAGAAGAGTTCAAAAATCCTGAAATCTCAGGACAAATCCTGAGATATGGTAACCCTAGGGCGATCCTGCGCGTTCGTTCAATCTAGATCACGATCAGATAGTTTGTGATCAGATGCATCAATCCATCAATCTAATTCGTACATTATCAATATGGATCGCGATCATTGATTTTGATCACCGATCGCGATCGAGATTGAGTGTGTACGGGCTGCCTACACCGTTCACTTACGATCAGGTGGACTGTGTGCTCATTTATCACCCTTAGTCTGTAATAAAAGGGTGGAGGTTGATATGTGTGGTTGGTCACCCTTAATGTATAAATATAATTTAAAATTATAAATTTTGTACAGCCGACTTCTTCGATAAGTTATTAAAAATAACTCAAATAACTCAAAAACTATTGGTCTGACCTTGATCAAATTCATATGGGACCATACGTGAAGTATCAGCTTTCATATAAAAAAGAATCATCGAAATCGGTCCACCCAGTAAAAAGTTATGAGGTAACGTCGAATTGAGTACCGTCTCCTTTTTGGAAGTCGGCAGAAAACAGGGCGATTTTATTATTGAATAAGGTTAAGGTTAGGTTTTTTTATTGTATTAGTTGCGATAGGCTGTGATTAGAGTCTGACCGAAGGTCGATTTCTGCTATTTTTGATTATTGCTATAATTTTCGGTTTTTTTGTAAATTTAACGTGAAAGATTTCTTTTTGTAACGGAAACCTAAATAATTTGGTATTTTTGTGCGCGTGGACTTATAATTTGGCAGAAGGGAATGTCTGGTCTGCGTATGGCTACTGGCGTCCGATCCGCCGGCGGGCAGGGTTGCTCTATGTGAATGAATGGATGGATGGATGGATGACAGTTGGAGGTGGATATGAACTGCGCAGGGTCGAGCTCGATGGCGGCGGTGTGCGGCGGCTCGCTGGCGCTGCTGGACGCGGGCGTGTTGCTCTATGTGAATGAATGGATGGATGGATGGATGACAGTTGGAGGTGGATATGAACTGCGCAGGGTCGAGCTCGATGGCGGCGGTGTGCGGCGGCTCGCTGGCGCTGCTGGACGCGGGCGTGTTGCTCTATGTGAATGAATGGATGGATGGATGGATGACAGTTGGAGGTGGATATGAACTGCGCAGGGTCGAGCTCGATGGCGGCGGTGTGCGGCGGCTCGCTGGCGCTGCTGGACGCGGGCGTGTTGCTCTATGTGAATGAATGGATGGATGGATGGATGACAGTTGGAGGTGGATATGAACTGCGCAGGGTCGAGCTCGATGGCGGCGGTGTGCGGCGGCTCGCTGGCGCTGCTGGACGCGGGCGTGTTGCTCTATGTGAATGAATGGATGGATGGATGGATGACAGTTGGAGGTGGATATGAACTGCGCAGGGTCGAGCTCGATGGCGGCGGTGTGCGGCGGCTCGCTGGCGCTGCTGGACGCGGGCGTGTTGCTCTATGTGAATGAATGGATGGATGGATGGATGACAGTTGGAGGTGGATATGAACTGCGCAGGGTCGAGCTCGATGGCGGCGGTGTGCGGCGGCTCGCTGGCGCTGCTGGACGCGGGCGTGTTGCTCTATGTGAATGAATGGATGGATGGATGGATGACAGTTGGAGGTGGATATGAACTGCGCAGGGTCGAGCTCGATGGCGGCGGTGTGCGGCGGCTCGCTGGCGCTGCTGGACGCGGGCGTGTTGCTCTATGTGAATGAATGGATGGATGGATGGATGACAGTTGGAGGTGGATATGAACTGCGCAGGGTCGAGCTCGATGGCGGCGGTGTGCGGCGGCTCGCTGGCGCTGCTGGACGCGGGCGTGTTGCTCTATGTGAATGAATGGATGGATGGATGGATGACAGTTGGAGGTGGATATGAACTGCGCAGGGTCGAGCTCGATGGCGGCGGTGTGCGGCGGCTCGCTGGCGCTGCTGGACGCGGGCGTGTTGCTCTATGTGAATGAATGGATGGATGGATGGATGACAGTTGGAGGTGGATATGAACTGCGCAGGGTCGAGCTCGATGGCGGCGGTGTGCGGCGGCTCGCTGGCGCTGCTGGACGCGGGCGTGTTGCTCTATGTGAATGAATGGATGGATGGATGGATGACAGTTGGAGGTGGATATGAACTGCGCAGGGTCGAGCTCGATGGCGGCGGTGTGCGGCGGCTCGCTGGCGCTGCTGGACGCGGGCGTGTTGCTCTATGTGAATGAATGGATGGATGGATGGATGACAGTTGGAGGTGGATATGAACTGCGCAGGGTCGAGCTCGATGGCGGCGGTGTGCGGCGGCTCGCTGGCGCTGCTGGACGCGGGCGTGTTGCTCTATGTGAATGAATGGATGGATGGATGGATGACAGTTGGAGGTGGATATGAACTGCGCAGGGTCGAGCTCGATGGCGGCGGTGTGCGGCGGCTCGCTGGCGCTGCTGGACGCGGGCGTGTTGCTCTATGTGAATGAATGGATGGATGGATGGATGACAGTTGGAGGTGGATATGAACTGCGCAGGGTCGAGCTCGATGGCGGCGGTGTGCGGCGGCTCGCTGGCGCTGCTGGACGCGGGCGTGTTGCTCTATGTGAATGAATGGATGGATGGATGGATGACAGTTGGAGGTGGATATGAACTGCGCAGGGTCGAGCTCGATGGCGGCGGTGTGCGGCGGCTCGCTGGCGCTGCTGGACGCGGGCGTGTTGCTCTATGTGAATGAATGGATGGATGGATGGATGACAGTTGGAGGTGGATATGAACTGCGCAGGGTCGAGCTCGATGGCGGCGGTGTGCGGCGGCTCGCTGGCGCTGCTGGACGCGGGCGTGTTGCTCTATGTGAATGAATGGATGGATGGATGGATGACAGTTGGAGGTGGATATGAACTGCGCAGGGTCGAGCTCGATGGCGGCGGTGTGCGGCGGCTCGCTGGCGCTGCTGGACGCGGGCGTGGCGCTGACGGCGCCGGCCGCCGGTGTGGCCGTGGGCCTGGTGTCCAGGCACGAAGACGCCAGCCTCGTGGACTACCGCATCCTCACCGACCTGCTCGTCAGTACCTCCACATTATCTACACTGCATACCGATAAACAATGGGATTAGAAATGGCGGCACATTCAGCCCGTACCGTCGTCTTGCACAGTACCAACAGCGAAAACCCGCTATTAACGGTATATCATTATAACCTTTTATTCGGTTAATTTGAAATTTTCTTTTAATCACAAAATATTTGAAAATAATTGTATATGCAAGTAGGTTCATTAATTTTAAAACAACATTTATAACTAGCGACCTGCTCTGCCTTCGCCCGGGTGAGATCTATTAATGTGGCTTTATTTAGACTTAAGATGATCATCAAAGACAATTTATTTCATCTTATCAACATTTATATTTTAATAAGATATCAAATTTTTCGAAAAAAATTTAATCGAGATCATTCCCAGCCTGTCATTGCAAAGAGTTCTGACAAAAATGTCTACCCGAGCCGAGGCGCAGCCGAAGGTGAATTAATACAGTTACGAAAAAATGAAGCAATTAAATAAAGAACATTTTTGGAAAATGGCGCCAACCGTAAAATAATGTAAGCAGAGGTTTTTTTTTTGTTTTCTTCACCCATTCTGAGTAGGGAAAGGGGATGCCCATACAGCTAAGTCTTCAGTAGAATTTTTTTATTGATATGAAATGAAATTTAAATTTAATGAGATGACATGAAATGAACCCTAACCTAACTTATTGAATAAAATCATTAAATCTGATATTGAAACAAATTAGTAGCTTCTTTTTAGAAATATTTGCATGAATCATAAAAACTTCTATGAATTTTTTTTAGTAAAAAACTCGTGATTGATTTTTTCTTTTTAATAGACATTGTTTTGACAGTTGGGAAAGAAAACGCACGAGTTCGGAAAAGGTAAAGAAAAAGCACGAGTATGTAATAGCCCACATCCCGAACGCTATACGTCCCTGCAATACGCCACTTTTTGAGCAACTGTATTAAAAAATTTATTACAATTTCTTCAGCCATTCAAAAGATTAACTCGGACAAACAGACAGATATACCAAAGAAAATTATAAAAATGGTTATTTTCAATGGCATGTAAATAAAAAAATATTAACAAACAAAATCTACAATAATTACGAAGAAAACTCTCAAAACGCGTCTAGTTCACAAATTAGCGAAACCGGACTTAATTTTTTTGTAGTTTATAGCATTTTGTTATCATTAATTTCAATGACAAGTGGGACTGAAGTTATTACACTTACGAAAAACGCATATCGCGACGTATTTTTTTGTAATTTTTACCAGCATTATCTATACTCACGTATAGGTGACGACAGTGTGCTCGCGAAATATGCATAGAGACGACGCCATTTTCAATCCCATTCTTTAACCACACTGATAGTACAATATCTACTATCAGTATCAAATAGCAACTTAATGCTTTGTTACGTATAGTGAGTGTAGAAGAACTACAAACCCTTTTACTGGAAACGAGGCATTCCATCTTAGTCCTCGTCAACGGCAATGCTTCTGCATTTTGATTCTTAATTGTGAATAAATGTAGATGTCTATGGGCCGCAACATCCAGTTACCATCAAGGGGACTATGTACTCGTTTGTCACCGTTATTATATGAATATAGGGTCGAATCCCAGGTCGGGCTCAAATCAGGTAATGGATTGAAAAATGAGAGAAATATCAAGGAATTCTCAGTAGTTGCTCATATTCAAGAAGTTAACGGTGTTACATCCTCGTGCCTCGGAATGCACGTAAAGCCGTTAGTCTTGCGCCTGATCTCTCTGCGGTCGTGTCCGAATGCCATCCTATCGAACTATAAAAGTGAAGAAATAGAGCTATAACAAAGTATAGTAGCAGCATGACTACCACGTACAAAAGTTTATCTTGCACCTTTAACGCTACTAGTTGCCTCGTAACCTGGTATATCATATTTACCAGTTATAGTCGCCTCAGATTCGAATCCCGCTCGGGACAAATATTTATATGGCTTACCAAAAATTTCACATTGGAAATTGTATTTTATTGTGTGTACAATAAGAAATAAATTGTAACTGCATTTTATTTAGCTTGAATTTTAATTACAGGGTATCGAAGATTACATGGGCGACATGGACTTCAAGGTGGCTGGTACAAAGAAAGGTATCAATGCGCTGCAAGCCGACGTGAAAATCCCTGGACTCCCACTCAAAGTAGTAATGGAGTCGGTGCAGAAAGCTTGTGATGCTAAAAGCCGTATCATTGACATCATGAACCAGTGCATTGATAAACCAAGGTAAATTTTGTTTAATATTTTAATTGCTAACTGGTGGTCAGCCCCCCCGTGTAGTGGCGGGTAAGAATACTCACTACCCCATATCTTCCCGTGGGTGTCGTAAAAGGCGACAGAGGGAAACTGAGGCAGAGGATGGACAGCAGCATCTTTCTGATAACAGCAAAACAACAATAAAAAAACTGCGGTTGCCAACCCGCTCGCCAAGCGTGGCAACTATGGCAATATAAACCCCATGAAAGTGACGAAGAGACGGCCCCGCTATTCCTGGCTACGGTGGCGACCATGGTAACGGCGGCGCAGGGGGTGCTAAGAATCTCCGGTGGAGGTTTTTTTTTTATAGGATAAGGGTGAGAAACGAGCACACAGTCCACCTGATGGTAAGTGGTTGCTGCGGCCCATAGACATCTACATCTATCCTCTGTTACAAATCAAAATGTAGATGCGTTGTCACCCGTGAGGACTAAGATGGAATGCCTCATTTCCAGTAAAAAGGGCCTCCGGCCACCTGCACTCACCAAGCGAAACGCAGAGGTAAACCTCTACTTTACGCTGGTTTTCTGTAAGGTCGTGGTACTACCCCGGTTCGAGCCGGCCCATCCGTGCGACAGCAAAAGCTGCCTCGTGGCTCTACCACTGTTAGAAGTTAGTTAGTTCGGTTGCCACCTACGACGACTCGACCTGGCAACTTATAACGCACGCACCCTGAGGACTGACGAGAAGATCCTGGAGCTGGAAGAAGAAATAAACAATTTGCGATGGAATGTTATAGGATTATCCGAAGTCCGAAGAGAGGGGGAAGACACGGTAATCCTCGAATCCGGCAATTTGTTTTATCACCGGGAGGGCGACCATCTGTCCCAAGGAGGTGTCGGATTTATCGTTCACAAGTATCTCGTTAACAACGTTGTAAAGATTGAGAGTGTGTCGACGAGGGTTGCGTACCTTATACTCAGAATCACCAAACGGTATTCGCTGAAGGTCACAGGTTTACGCACCAACCTCGGCACACCCCGATGAGGAGGTGGAGGAAATGTATGAGGATATCTCTAGAGCCATGCATTCCTCCAAAACCCACTATACGGTGTTAATGGGAGACTTCAACGCAAAACTAGGCACAAGAGAGAACGGTGAGCTGAAAGTAGGGAATTTTGGAATAGGGCAACGGAAACCAAAGAGCCAACAGCTGGCAGACTTCATGGAGAAAGAGGGACTCTTTATGATGAACTCTTTCTTCCAGAAGCGGCCCCACAGGAAGTGGACCTGGTCGAGCCCCGACGGTTCGACAAAAAATGAGATTGACTTCATTATGACGACCAGACGACAACTGTTCAGTGATGTCTCAGTGATCGCGAGGGTGAAAACCGGCAGCGATCACCGAATGGTGAGAGGCACACTGAACCTAAACGTTAAGTTGGAGAGGTCACGTCTAATGAAGTCAACGCTCCGTCCCCCTCGTGCTCTAATCGAAAGTCCCGAAACCTTTCAGCTTGAGCTACGAAACCGTTTTCAGTGCCTAGAAGATTGCAATACAGTGGACGATATTAATGACAAGCTAGTGGAAACTGTCCATGCGGTCGGAGCTAGGTTTTGCAAGCGATCGAGCGGAACCAGGGCTCCAAAGTCTTTGCTAGAGATCTGTCTGCCAGAAAGAGCCAACTGTCGAAGCTGAAGACAGAGTGTGACAGCGTCGTTTCCGGGACACCTGAGATTTTGAGTGAGATTGTAAGGTTCTATGGGCAGCTGTACACATCATCGTTGGAGGCACACGTAAGTGTGAGTAACGATTCAAGAGCGAGTCTTATCCGACACTATTCCGATGATATTCCTCTCCAGCACCTTAAAAACGGCAAGGCCCCAGGCGAGCATGGAATTACAGCGAAGCTTCTGAAAGCGGGTGGAAAACCGGTACTTGAAGGCCTTCAGAAGCTCTTTAATTCCGTCCTCCATGGTGGCACTACACTGGAGGCCTGGAGCATTCTTCAAGAAAGGTGACAACGCTCTCTTGAAGAACTACAGACCGATTTCCCTTCTGAGCCGCGTCTACGTGCTGTTTTCGAGAGTAATTACGAATCGCCTCGCGCGCAGACTTGATGACTTCCAGCCTCCCGAACAAGCCGGTTTCCGAAAAGGCTTTAGTACCATAGACCCCATACATACCCTTCGGCAAATTGTACAGAAGTCAGTGGAGTACAATTTGCCACTATGTCTGGCGTATGTGGACTATGAAAGCCTTTGATTCCGTCGAAATTTGTGCGGTGCTGTAGTCCCTTCAGCGATGCCGAGTTGACTGTCGGTATATCGAAGTGCTGAAGTGCTTGTACAGTAGAGCTACGATGGCTATCCGAGTACAGAACCAGAGTACGAAACCTATCCAATTGCAGAGAGGTATAAGACAGGGTGACGTTATATCCCCGAAAATCTTCACCATTGGAAGACGTTTTCAATCTTCTGGACTGAAAAGGATACAGTATTGACATCAATGGCGAGTACATCACTCACCTTCGATTTGCCGACGATGTAGTCCTTATGGCAGAATCGCTGGAGGACCTAAGCACTATGCTCAATGACCTCAATAGTGTTTCCTAACGGATAGGTCTTAAGATGAACATCTACAAAACAAAGATCATGTTTAATGTCCATGTCACACATATGCCGGTAGTTGTTAGGAGCACTAAGCTCGAAGTTGTTGACGAGTATGTTTACCTGGGACAAATAGTCCGTCTAGGTAAGTCCAACTTCGACCGAGAGGTCAATCGACAGATTCAACTCGGTTGGGCAGCGTTCGAGAAATTACGGCACATCTTCTCGTCAGGTATACCTCAAAACTTGAAAACGAGACTGTACAACCAGTGCGTGTTGCCAGTGATGACCTATGGTACTGAGATGTGGTCCTTCACTGCTGGCTGGATGAGGAAGCTCAAGGTCGCTCAGCAAGCTATGGAGAGGGCTATGCTCGGAGTTTCTCTGCGTAATAAACTTAGAAATGAGGTTATCCGCAGTAGAACCAGAGTGACCGACATAGACCAACGGATTAGTAAGCTGAAGTGGCAATGGGCCGGCCATATAGCTCGAAGAACCGACAGCCGATGGGGAAAAAAGGTTCTCGTCAGGTATACCTCAAAACTTGAAAACGAGACTGTACAACCAGTGCGTGTTGCCAGTGATGACCTATGGTACTGAGATGTGGTCCTTCACTGCTGGCTGGATGAGGAAGCTCAAGGTCGCTCAGCAAGCTATGGAGAGGGCTATGCTCGGAGTTTCTCTGCGTAATAAACTTAGAAATGAGGTTATCCACAGTACAACCAGAGTGACCGACATAGACCAACGGATTAGTAAGCTGAAGTGGCAATGGGCCGGCCATATAGCTCGAAGAACCGACAGCCGATGGGGAAAAAAGGTTCTCGAGTGGTGACCTCGTACCGGCGGACGAAGTGTAGGGCGTCCCCCCACTAGATGGAGTGACGACCTGGTAAAATATGCAGCAAGTCGATGGATGCAGGTGGCTCAGGACCGTGCTTTGTGGCATTCCTCTGGAGAGGCCTATGTTCAGCAGTGGACTTCTGAAAGGCTGTAATGATGATGATGAATGCTTGTGGTCAGCCACCGCAGAATCTACTTTATCTGAGGATCTCTCGTTTAGAGACGAAACACGTGTCATATTTTCGTCGGTGGTGTGTCTTTCCTAGTGTAGTGGTGTTGGGAGTAGTGGTGCTGGGATTAGTGTTGACGGGGATAGTGCACGCAATTGAGGGAGGGCGGGAGGTGCTCTTCATATTAGGTAAGATACATCATTTTATTTTATAGAGCGGATGTTTGCGAAGTAACTTTTTAAAAGCTTTTATTTAATACTATAGCAATTTTAAAGATATTAAAAATTAATTAGCTAAAAGATACTCTTTTGCATATCTGAAAAAGTAGCTAATACTCTTTGACAAAACGGCGTTTATGTGGCGTTCAAAACAAACTTCTCTTTGAAATATCTGTAATAATAAAGATAAGTTGCATATTTGTCAAAAGTCGGGTGTTTACAAACTTGATTGTGTCGAATGCCACGCCGTTTACGTGGGTCAGACTGGTCGTAACTTCGAAACACGTTATAAAGAGCATTTAGCCGCGTACAGTAATTGCAATCCCGATAAATCCCATTTTGCTAAACATCTTTTTGGACACTGGACACAACCTAGCCAACGACCACTCCTTTAAAGTCTTACATACGTGTAATAAAGGGCTGCGACTGTGTGTGCTGGAACAGTTAGAGATATTAAAAAGTAATAATAGTAACCATGCACTGCTGAATGTACAAACAAATGTTTCTAACTCACCTCTCTTAAATATATTTTAACAGTGGTAGAGCCACGCGGCAGCTTTTGCTGTCGCACGGATGGGCCGGCTCGAACCGGGGTAGTACCACGACCTCACAGAAAACCAGCGTGAAGTAGAGGTTTACCTCTGCGTTTCGCTTGGTGAGTGCAGGTGGCCGGAGGCCCTTTTTACTGGAAATGAGGCATTCCATCTTAGTCCTCACGGGTGACAACGCATCTACATTTTGATTTGTAAAAGAGGATAGATGTAGATGTCTATGGGCCGCAGCAACCACTTACCATCAGGTGGACTGTGTGCTCGTTTGTCACCCTTATCCTATAAAAAAAAATATTTAAGCCTGCTCTCTAATAGCAGACAGCCTCGCAATATGATCGTTTGTCACCCTCACGGTGATCGGCGATTGGTCGCATGTTTTATCGCATGACGCGGTCGCTCGCTCTTAAAGCAGGCAGCGGTTGCGTCAGGCAGTTGTTTTGGCTCACCGCTTACTTAACGGTCAGTCACCGTAGAGTCTACATCACCTGAGGATGCCTCGTGTAGAGGCGAAACACGTGACCACAAAGCAACCGAAACGTCGGGAATGTAAAATAAGTTAATTAAACGCGATAAAATCCGTAAAAATAGTTTTATTCAACTTTTTAAAAGATTTTATATAATGGATTTCCGCAAAGTAACGCCTGATTCTATTAATTATAGTTTTAAATTTATGCCAATATTATAATAGCTTCTTATTACAATAGTAAATTAGTGTTTTTTGGAAATTTAATTATTCCCACAAAAATGTTTTATTTCACTAATTTTGATTTAACCTAAAACATGGTACTTATATCTAGATATATATAGGGATAGAGAATCTCCTAAAGACAATTGTCGGTTCAACAGACAAGACAAGAAAGAGAACATGCCGGTGACGGAAGAGTTGCAGGTGGAAGTTCACAATCGCTCCAAGCTTCTTGGCGTGGCCGGGATCAATCTCAAGAGGCTGTACGTTGAGACGGGTGTACAGGTAAGTCTTGTCTTTGGTGCTAGCTATGTACTGCTATACAAAGTATACGTATTCATTTTTAAAGTTGCGTTACATTCAGTGTGAATAAAAATGCCGAATAGGATGAGGAATGGATGTATTCTTTCACATTACACTTATAAAATCGCTAAGTTTCTTCGGTGATCTCCTTAATAATGGCAGATGTCGTAGGTCGATTGCTTGTAGTCGCTTCCCGAAGTAGAGCTCACTTTTGCGTTTCTGAAGTAATTACATAACTCTCTGATCGCCGGCACACGTTTTTATACTCGATAAGAGGAATATAGAACTTTCTATACTAATCCAGATTATTCCACTCTTTCAACCGGAAGATCTAGAACACTCGCGATTACATAACGATACCAATGTTCAAAGGAGAAAAGAACTCTTTCTTTCTTTTTTATAAGAGGTTGATAGCAAATTTATCAAGAATTATTTTATGCTTACACACTTTTTATGTATCGTGTACTGGTGCTCACGCCCTTAGTGGCCCCGACAAAGGTCGACTGGAACAGGGCCCATGAGTGATCCCCTCGACGAGCAACAGAGGACGGGGCCCAATGGCCTATGGATAGTTCTAAATTAATGGCAAATAAGCAAGCACAACTTACCGAGTCCCGGCCTTTCCAAACACGAGTAGCACCAGTGGCGCTCCTTGGCGATAGTTCGCCTCGCTGGAACCGGCCTACCCAATAACTTCGGGCACGACGTCACCCGATGATCGGATGCTCGACAATAGGAGCAGGGGGGCGCCTCCCTGGCCTCTAGGCCACTGTAAGACGGTAGGGAGCGGCGCCTTCCCGAGGGAGCTCCGATCGGACTTAGGGGGGTTGGCGACGACTTGCCCGGCGGATTCCGCCTCTCATTGGGCACGGCTCGGTTGGCAACCCGTAAGTAGTCGACGGTGCCCGCCGCGTTTTCAATTTGCCGGCACTGCTCCTCCAAGAACCGCAGCAAATCACTGAAAGGCGGAATATAGGAAGCGCCGTCCCCGCCGTACCTCTCCTCAAAATGTATCCGAAGGTCGAGAGGCAGGCGGGACAGCACGATGTGGAGCAACAAGAAGGACCATTCATCCACCGGTAAATCCAGCTGCCTCAAAGCATTACAGGCCACCAAGACTGGATTCACGATGTCCGAACGTAGTCTGGCCTGATCCCTAAGCAGCGGGAGGCTTTGAAGCTGCCTAACGTATTCGTCCGCAATTCGCCGGACGTTGGCATATCTTCCGGCGAAGAGGTTCCGGGCCGTCTGGTAGGCGTCGTCCGACGACTCCCAGGGCCTCCCCCTCCAGTGAGGCTAGGAGGTACGCCATCTTCTGGCTTGGTGTCAAGTCCTTCCGGGCGTTCACTAGACTATCAAAAAGGCCAACAAAAGTCATCCAGTCGGAGAGGACCCCGGAGAACCTTGGCAGGTCCAGAGTTGGGAGTCGTCCCAACAGCTCCGGCTGAGTGGGCTGCTTCCGAGAAGACTCGGACAGGCCCCTCAGCCTAGATTCACGCGCTTCATTAGCATACTTGGCCGCCTCCTCGATCAAGTCGTCCGTGAGCGAAAAAAATTTCTCGTAGTCCGCGAGGCAGGAGTTTAGGACTCCCCGTTCCGCATCAGAGGCCAAAAGCTCTGTGCAAGCCTCCTCCACTACGGCCCTTTGGGCATCGACCTGCTCGAGCCGATTCCCTAAACTATGGACCCAATCGGGTCGACCTATCAAGGTATGGGAGTTCACGGCCCAGCGCAGCTTCGCCTGCAGGCGAAGCGCCGGTAGCTTGTGCGATGGCATCACTACTAAATCCAAATTACTATCAAATTATATTCAATACAAATTACTACAAATACAAATTACTATTTATTAAATTAAATACAAATTACGCTACAAATAAGTACACACTACAGTCGGTCAACAAAGATGCCTCGCTCAGGCGACCGATCCTTCGGCAATTAATCTACTATAATTATACGATTATGTGATAACGATAATTATCTACCTACCCGAAATACCTGACCCCAAACTACACTCCCGCTTGCGCAACCTAACGGGCGTGGTTCCTAATTCAACCCACCTATCCGCTAACTAACAAAGGAAAATATTTTTATTACGTATTACGGCTGGGCGTGATTGTAGAAACAATCAACCACGCTCTGCTACCAGTGGTGCTCACGCCCTTAGTTGCCCCGACAAAGGTCGACTAGACCAGGGCCCATGAGTGATCCCCTCGACGAGCAACAGAGAGCGGGGCCCAATGGCCTATGGATAATACTAAATTAATGGCAAATATGCAAGCACAACTTACAGAGTTCCGGAGGTAGGGTTGACCACAGGGTGCCAGTCAGGTGATAAGTGAGGTGTATGTAAGTAGTGTGTAGTAGGGTTTAAATGATGTAACCTGACATCCCCGATGTAGTCGGACCGCAGATCCACAGGCGCTGCTTTTCTCCAAATGTGCGATCCCTCCAAGGGGCGGTCACCAATTGAAACCTTCTGCTTTTATTTCACTATATTAGCTTATCAACTTTATTGTACATTTAATTAACTTCAAAGTCAACCAAATCAACGTTCATCGAAATTAAAACAAGTGACACACGACACAAGTAAAAAACAATCGGTCAAAGTTCATTGTTCCATGTTCACTTATCAACAAATTATAATCACGAGAACGAACGCGGTCTCTTCTCAAGTCACAAAGTACACAAAGTACACGTTCCAACCGACAAGGCAAATGTTTTATCACGCTATCAAAATGACGCTCAAACAACTCGTCGATGCAAATTAATAGCAATCAGTTAATTTAATCACTCAAAACTCAAATTAGGCCTCTTGTCACGTAACGCTCAAAACAGACAAATCAATTCGAGGCGGTCTTAACGAGACCCAAATATTCAATTGTAAATTCATAACGACGCGTACAATTATGGACACCAGCCGCACCCGACCTATTAACGGTCGCAAACTATACTAGTCGACCAGGCCGCGCCGTTCAAGACACTGTTGCCAGCCCACGCGGCACACAGCTCCCCCCCCCCCCCCCCCGCGGCGTTTACGTCACCTCAATATCATCGGACGACGCGCCGAGGCAAGCGTTATTGGATGCAAATTTCAAATGCCCATATTTGGCCTAAACATGTACGTTTTTTTTTAAACTGGAAAAAGCCGTGTTTCGGGACTTTTTCTGGGAATGGGAGGTGGGGAGGGGAGGCTTAACTGTGAGGGGGAGGGAAAGTAGATAAAACTTAATTTCACTCTACATATATTCGCATACATTATACATAATATGCCGACAGATAAAATAAAAGTACTCACTCAATTATGCCATTTTTTTCATACATTACTATCAAATAAAATATTTGATTGCAATTATAAGATGCTCGAACTAGGTGTCATGTCATGCCGCGCATCTCGGACACGTGATGATGCGGGTGAAACTGCGGGGCACAGCTAGTTGTCTTATTTACTTTACATGTAACAAGTACACACGCGCGGTGTTTAGATATGGTAATCAATTATGCCGAATATTCGGTTTGGTGTAAGGGTTGCAGAACATTTGGGCGAATATTCGTATTGAGTGAAACTCGTGTTCGCGCTATCTCTAGCGGCCCATCAATTAAGTTTTTGTTTAAAAGAAATAAATGATTTGTTTTATATGTGATAGATGGTTGTAGTACGAATAGGTCGGCTCGACCGGGGAAGGACCACGCTCTCACAGTATACCAGCGTAAAAGAGCAGCTCAATGCTGCTGTGTTTGGCATGGTGAGTGTAGAGAACTGGAGACTTTTTTTTACTGGAAACGAAGTAAGCTATCTTAGTCCTCAGGGGTGACAATGCATCTGCATTTTGACTCCAAGTCGAGCATAAATGTAGATGTTTAGGGGCTGCTGCATCCACTTACCATCAGGTGGACTATATGCTGTCACCCTTATTCTATGAAAAATATGATTTGTGTCAGGTGAGCCCTATAGACGAGACGAAGTACAGCGTGTTCGCGCCATCCAGCGCCGCCATGGAGGAGGCCCGGGCGCGCATCGCGGGCTGGCTGCAGAGCGAGCGCGCGCCCGAGCTGGAGTTCGGCGCCGTGTACCGCGCGCGCGTGCTCGAGCTGCGCGACGCCGGCGCGCTCGTCGCCATACACCCCGCGCTCGCGCCCGCGCTCGTGCACAACTCGCAGCTAGACCACCGCAAGGTACACTTAGACAAATAACCATATTGCGCCTAGTCAATTATTAGTTAGAACCGACTGTAAGTTTACGCCACTATGTCATACATCGAGTGATGTCCTACATCACAGATTAGCAACGCCAGATCCCAATGATCGCGGCGTTAGCAGAGTTCAATGGCCGCCTGCGCAAGCATTATGTTCTTTCTGAGTATCATAGTATTGTAGCATAATTTGAGTCGAACAGCAAATGTAGTTTTAATTATTATTAACTTTTAGCTATGTTTTGGGTGTAATAACACTCACACTGTCCTAAAATGTACTTGCGGTATACTAAACAAACTTATTAGTGATTAATTTCCTTGAAGTCTAACGGTGAAATGTCCTGCGATTTTGCAGGCCATAGTATAGTGCCTCCACACGCAATCCACCACATATTCACTGTTTAAATTCTCGCTCACTGCACTTGAATAGTTTGATTAGCTGTCAATTGTTTTTCGATTGGTAGGTACACGTACGTTAATATCTTGCCACAGTAGTGACTCAATTTCGTATAATCTTTGCGCACCACGTAAACTTTTATTGCTTAAAATGTAACAGTGCACCATTCCGTAATTTCTTAGTATTCGCGGTTCGAATATTTTCGCTCCGTCATTGGTAACGAAACGAAAACCTACGAAAATATAAAAGTAGCAGCAAATAAGAGACGACAAAAGGAAAGAGGGCATGGGCAGAGGAGATTGGTTGCTGAATCTTCATAATATCAACTCAAAATAATTGAAAAATGCGGTTGGTAATAATGCCAACTATGGCAAAAACATTCCCTCTTTAAAGCTTATGCTATGTTTAGCAGTAGACTCTTCCTATGGGCAAATTTCTTTTTAATTGTCTGTTTTGATGTCGAGTTAAAACTGCAAAGTTTAATGTGTTTTCGTTTTTTAGGTAAAGTGTAATTAATGGCTAAAAGGCATTCTATCTTAGCCTCATTGTAGTGGTGACAACGCATCTATAGTCTTCTTTGTTTTAAGTTATTTGCAGGTCTCCATGAGCTGTTAAGCATCAGGTTAACTGTTAGTTCGCTTGTCGCTTCGGCTTTCTATATTCGGACTATAGTTCATTACTCGTTCTAGTATTTTTTATTTTTTTATTTTATATGATAAGGCCGACAAACGAGCACACAGTCCACCTGCTGATAATTTGATGTAGACATTTGACATTTGTGGCTCATAGACATCTATAATAATCCTCGATCAAGAATCAAAATACAGATGCGTTTTCACCCCTGAAGATGAAGATGGAAATGACGCATTCCAATATAAAGGGTCTCCGGTACTCTACACTTACCATACGAAACACAGCAGCATCAAGCTGTTATTTTATGCTGACATTCTGTTAGAGTGTGGTCCTTCGCCGGTCGAGCCGACCCATTCGAGCTACAACCATAATATAGTTTCAGCATGGCTCTACCACGTAAAAAAAGTCGTAGTAAATGAAATAGAAAAAAAAATCGAGTGTAATGTTTACAAGCAGAAATACTCTTTTAGTACTTTTTATCTAGCAATATTGTCTCCATATTTATATCTTAAATATTTTCCTGAGATCTAATAATTTTCTAAGTACCACTTGTAAGTTGATGGGTAAATTATACGTGGCGGAACCATGCTACAGCTATACAATAGTTGTAGTACGAATGAGTCGGCTCTACCGAAGAAGGAACACGCTCGCACAGAATACTAGTGTAAAATAACAGCTTAAGAGTGTAGAGAACCGGAGACCTATTTTACTCAAAAAGAGGCATTCCATCTTAGTCCTCAGGGGTTACAACGTATCTGCATTTATTTATTTATTAGTCTATGGGCTACAGCATCCACTTAATATAAGATGTGGTGTGTGCTCGTTTGTAACCCTTACTTAATAAAAAATATTGTTTTTCGAACAGATCCAGCATCCGTCAGTGCTAGGCCTGGAGGTGGGCTCTGAGATCAACGTGAAGTACTTCGGTCGCGACCCGGTGTCGGGACAGATGCGTCTCTCGCGTAAAGTGCTCACCTCTCCTCCGCCAGGAATCGTGCGCAAACTTGACAAGACATAAACCTATCTCATTCATATACGAAAGACTGATGAAGTGTTAAATGTTTAGATTCATATGTTTTCACTGTTAATTTTTCCCTTCATTAATACTCACTGGGCAGTTTAATTTAAATTTCAGACCGAAATGTAACCCGCATACAAAACAATCTTTCAAATAAGAACAACTTTGTATTTAATTTATACTTGCGATTGTCACTTGGTGAAACTCCAAATTCAATTTTGTATTTTATATATTTACCATTTTTCTGATGTTGTATGTAACCAAAAAGACTAATAAAAATTTTTTGCATTAGGTTGTCTCAAAATCTTTGGAACTAAAATTGGAGACGTCATGTTCACTAATTATAAGTGTATATTTTATGATAGGTGTAAATTGAAAGCAAATTGCTTACTGTGAAATAAAATAAATAATTTCAAAATTTTTGACGTACTTATTTGCATATATCGTTATCCATTTGACATTGCATGATTCTCATCATATGAAAACCTTACCATGGGTGTAGTAAGAGGCTACAGAAGACATTTAGATCGGAAGATCGACAGCAGCAATTTCCTGATAACATGAAATTTTTGACGAAATTTTTATTTCTTAAGTAAAAACGCAAAGTTACATCCTTTATAGATCCCACTGCTGGGCACCAGCCCCTCATTTCTGAAAGGGTTTCCGGAGCAATTTGTCCATCGAACTGCGCTAGTGTGTTTGTGTTCTTGAAATATTCTTAGGACATGCAGGTTTCCTCATGATGTTTCCCTTTGCCACCGAACACGTGGTAAATCAGCACTTAAAATTGCTATTAACAATTTTATTGGTGCCGGCAAGAATTGATCGGATTGCTCACATACTATGACATTTACGGCGAGTGCTCAATTCCTAAGCTACCTCACTTTACCAACAGTAGGGCGTCGAGGTACGCGTTCGTGCCGGTATCTGCGAGTGGGATCAGTCCTCGCCCGCCACAATCATCGTGGTTATTATTTTTACCGCCCAGAAATCCTTTCATTTGAGTTAAGTTACACGGCTGTGTTGGGAGCTACGATGCGCTAAGCTCCTGCCACAGCCGTCGTGTTTTTTTTTACAAAAAATATATCGATATATACCAGGTGGCCCATAAGTCGTTAGAAATGTAAATTTCGAATAAAATACAAAAGGCGCGCGCGGTGCGGGGGGAGTACCGACGGTTTCTGGGAATTCAGTCGCCATGGAGCGTTTCACCGGTGCGGACCGTGCATTTTGTGTGCGCGAGTTTTATCGAAACAATGATTCGGCTACCATTGCGCGGCGTAAATTTCGAGAATATCAGAAATTACGCAACTTTAAAGACATTCCAAGTGTTCAAACGATTAAGAACTGGGTTATTAAGTTCGAAGAGAGTGGTTCGACGTTGGATAAACAACGGTCAGGTCGACCAAGGACATCACGGACGGAAGAAAACATCGATGTAGTGAAACACTCAATTCGTGAAAATCCTACCCAGTCTACTCGTAAGCGTTCCACTGCATTAAAATTACCCAGAACATCGTTACAGCGAATTTTAAAGAAAGATTTACATCTTCACCCGTACAAGATTCAGTTAGTACAGGAATTAAAAGATACTGACACTATCCACAGACTAAATTTCGCAAATGAAATGTTGAACCGCTTTACTTCGTTTAATAACGTGTTATTCTCTGATGAGGCTCACTTTCACATCAACGGCCATGTCAATAAGCAAAATTGTCGCTACTGGAGTTGCGAAAATCCAAATCGCAAACATCAAAAGCCCTTACATAGCCCTAAAGTGACAGTTTGGGCGGCTATGTCAGCGCATGGCATTATAGGCCCTTACTTTTTTGAGGACGGCAGAGGCCGCGCGCTTACTGTTACTTCACAACGGTATGTAGCTATGATCTAGGACTTTTTTACACCAGAGTTGCAGAATTTTCCAGGCTTCAATACGCGGACCTGGTTTCAACAAGATGGAGCAACTGCCCATACCTCTAACGTCGCTATGCCGGTCGTCCGTCAACTTTTCCCTAATAAAGTGATCTCTCGAAGAGGAGATATTCCTTGGCCACCACGTAGTCCAGATCTGACCCCAATGGACTTTTTCTTATGGGGTTATCTTAAGACTAAAGTGTACGAAACCAACCCGCGGACAATTGACGTCCTGAAAGAAAATATCCAAAGAGAAATGGCAAACATTACAGAGCTTACTTGCCACGCAGTGATGGATAATTTTAAACGTCGCGTACAGGAGTGCCGCGATCGTAACGGATTACATTTAGATGATGTAATTTTCAAAAAATAATTCCCATTTTATAAGGATTATGACAAAATAAAAACCTTTTTCATAATGTCATTAGTTTTTTTTTTAATTATTATTTTACATTTCAAGGGACTTATGGGCCACCCTGTATATCAAAACTACATTTTTAAACAGTATCAATATATATCGTGTGATTAAGAGCGGTTTATATGGGAGTAGTGTCGGGGTGTAGGGGACACTCCTCTGACCTCCCTCCTCCTGTCAAACGATTCAAATTTTTTACCCTTCGCAATATGACGCGTTAGCATATTGTAAGAAGTTTTGTAAACAAAATACAAATCAGATAAGGCTGTATGGTCTAAGACTTTTGCCTATCGTAACAAGAACGAAAAAATTTCTTTAATGAATTTGTTGTTATTTGGTATAGGTATATGTATAAAGGTTTTGGCGGGAACTTGACGGGCGGCGGTTTGCTGCTCCTGTATTATTGTTTAAATAATGGTTTAAAGTGGACTTTGATATGTAAAAGTGGTGCGATTTTGTGTATTAATTGTCTACGCATGTGAACTATTAGTGGAAACAGTGAAACAAATGCTCTGATGGTGATGGATTTTCAAGATAAGCTGTTTGTTTGCATAGGAGCCTTTAGATACCATTGCCAACTGTTAGCTGTCTGCTGGATCAAGTTGCCGTCAAAATCTCCCAAGAACTGCACAATGTGACGCTTCAACATATTGTGAAGCAGTGAACTATAAAGGATAATTACAAAAGACAAGGCTGTATGGCATAATTCCTTTGCCTGCTCTCTCGAGCGAATAATAAAAACAACAACAACAGTATATATATTATATATGTATAAACAATAATCTTTTTAAAAAAGGCTCAAAGAGTATAGTAATATATCAGTAATATATAAGGAAGAAAAGGCTTTTAATTGCTTTTCATTACAGGAGTACCTTTATTTATTTTAATATAGAAACTAATAGGCAGTACGGATATTACTATGACTATGAGAAAAGTGCAAGGAAATGATTCTTTCCAGCGCATTAATTATTTATATCAAGTACCTATATTTATCTTTATTGGATTTAATAAAATACAATTACTAGCAATATTACATAAAATACTTGAAAATAATTACAATAAAGTAGTTGGATATTCTATAATTGTGTGAAATTTAATTTTCAGATCAGTAAACACATGGTGGATAAGAACCCAACAATAGCTTCGTATTATGGAAATTTAATAGTAAATGTTGCAAAGAAGAATGTTTTAAAAATGTGAGTTTAAGTAATTAAAATCACTCCAATTTTTATATTTATTTAGTGGTATTTTGAAGTGGTAAGTTGATATCCACATGTCTGTGGGATTTAGATTTAGCATTTTGTAATAAATAAAATCATATTTGCTGCTTATCAGAACCACATTCATAAGTTAGCAGAGTACACAGGTGAGATGGTCTCTAAAAGAAAATGGTTGAAAGGTAGTTGTTTAACTCCCCTAGAAGAAGAAGCGTTACCAGTGCAACGGGGATGGTTTCATGCTTATGAATATAGCAACCTAGGAAAATGTTCAAGATATTAATGAAACATAATGTTTCAAACAAAGAAAGCTACAGATGTACTGATACCCTTGAGGATTATGAGGAATGCCTCATAGTATTTAATAATATTGGCTGTGTATATATTTAAAAAAAAAATTAATTCTTTCCCAAAAGAGAAAGAATTGAAAGAGCATGAGGTTAGAACTTCACTGCTCTCACTTCCTTCATGGCCTTTTCTATTCTATTTTAATACATTCTTATGTAGCACCTATTTGTTTCAGACATCCAGATATAAAAAGACAAATATGTAAAAAGTGTCGCTGCATTCTCGTAGACAATGTGTCAGCTAAGATGAAAATAAAAACAAAGAATAAAAGTAAGCTGATTCAATGGACCTGTAATATATGCAAAACAAAGAAAACTTTTCCAGCAGACAGGAATAAGGATCACAGAGTATGGCTGGAGAAACCGGAGGCCGTTATAGAAGTTATTAGCTAAATGCTTGCATTGTGCCTCTGTTCATGATCAGATCACATCACATTTTGAATATAATATTTTTATATAATACTGGAGTAACAAACAAACCTACAGTCCATCTGATAGTGAGTGGCTACTGCAGTCTGTGGACTCTTGGAGCAGATTTCATACAATAAAGACCACTGATGGAATGCTTATGGCCTGTAATTATATTAGCTCTATATACTTCAGCTCTTAACAAAATGCAAGAATAAGAAAGTAATGTAGAAGTATGTGGTAAAAAAGTAGTCCTTTAGGTATTTGGGGCATAAATGTTGAACATTTTTGGACAGAGTGGAGAGATTGATTGTTCTAGTGGATATTGGCAATAAACATTTTATTATCATTTTTAATTTTATTTTTTTATTTCATGTGTATTGTATATGTCGGAGATTACAAACAGGATTCAAATTTTGATCTCGGAAATACATCATGATAGCATTAATTGTTAAAAATAATAAAAGTGTGAGAGCGGATGTTCAACTTGCTCTCTTGCTTACGCAGTTTAATCATTATCAGTAATAAGACAACGTAACGCACTATACATTTAGTATAGAGAAATTACAGTTCGACCACACCGTAACACGTCTCCGACACAATCACACACCAGTGTAACGTGAGGTACGTAATTACATGATAACACCAAAATATGTAAACCAACAGCAACACTACATATCTCAATGATACACAGGGCAGCCTCTCAGCAACACCAATCCTCCTTGCCTGCACTAGAAGAATTACAACAACAGACAGAACCACGACACTATCTTAGCACTAGTAGCACTTACTACGTGGTAGAGCCATGCTGCAGCTATATTATGGTTGTAGCACAAATGGGTCGGCTCGACCGGGGAAGGACCACGCTCTCACAGAAAACCAGCGTAAAATAGCAGCTTAACGTTGCTGTGTTTCGTATGGTGAGTGTAGAGAACCGGAGACCCTTTTTACTGGCAAAGAGGCATTCCATCTTAGTCCTCACGGGTGACAACGCATCTGCATCTTGAGTCTTTATTGAGGATAGATGTAGATGTCTATGGGTCACAGTAACCACTTACCATCAGGTGGACTGTGTGCTAGTTTGTCACGCGATCCTATAAATAAAAAAAAGTAGAATGACCACACTCTTTGAATGACTTAGGCGGAATCCCTCGCGCACGGCACCTACAGTGAACTTTATACTACAGACACAAGAGGGGGTTTCTTGCTATACCCTCCATTCTACCTCGATCCAACCGGGTATTTTATAGATGCTCCGACATATATATAACATAAGTTGTACAGTCAACTGTGTAGTGAGGGTGTAAGAATATCCACTACCCCAAATAGTCGTCCCATGGGTGTTGTAACTGGGGACAGAGGGAAATTGAAACAAATAGATATCTTCTTAATAACAACTCAAAATATTAAATACCTGCAATTGCCAACCCGTCTGCCAAGCATGGCAACTATGGCAAATATTCTCCTGAGGCAATCTACATGGACGGTCTATGTTCAGCTGTGGACTTTTATAGGCTGTAATGTAATGTATAGTCAACTGGATCGACAATCACATTGTCTAGTGGTTAGCATGTTTGGCTACTATATTGCAGGTGCTGGATTTGAATCCTAGCTAGAGTCAACATTTTTACAAAAACCAGATTCTTAGTATTCACGTCTGGTTATACTTTGACAGGTTCTTTATATTGGATATAGCATACTTTCCTATCTCCAACCTTTTTTAAACTCGTATAAGTTACTGTTTATACAATTTGTCACTATGTCTTGCATATGGAGACTATGAGTCATATGAGGCAGTCAAAGATGGTAAAGTGCACTGACTAAGCTCTACAAAAAGAAAACGCTAAAAATTATAAACATTGCAGTTGTAGACTTGACTGACAAGCGTGGCAACTATGGTAAAATCCTCTATGAGACAATCTATGTAGGAGGCGTATGTTCAGCAGAGGACCTTAATAAACTGGTACTAGACTATAATATGGACTAGTCAGCACCTCGGGAACGTTCCTCGTGCATCAAATGAAGAGGAAACTGATATGTACGTATTACATAGTAAAGCCATGCTGCAGCTATATTATGGTTGTAGCAATGGGTCGGCTTGACCGAGGAAAGACCACGCACTCACATATTAGCAGAATAGCAGCTCAATACTGCTGTGTTTCGTATGATGAGTAACCGGAGACCCTTTTTACTGGAAGTGAGGCATTCCATCTTAGTCCTTGGGGATGACAAAGGATCTGCAAAGTGATTCAAAATTAGTGCAGTGGTTTAACGTTAATAATCTACATTTAAATGGAAATAAAACTAAATCTATTAAATTTACAACACCGAATGATAAAATCTAAATACCAATGTATTTCGAAATGGGGAAGAACATAGCCCTGTTGAATCCACTGCTTTTCTTAGCATCACTCGAAAAAAGTTTCAGTGGGGCCCTATATATCCAAATTAACAAGCAGACTAAGGTAAGCTATAAACTTATGCTGTAAAAAATATTAGAGATCTCACTAGTGTCGAGACTAGTCTAGACGAGACGAGAGACGAGAAGACTAGATTAGTTTATTTCAGTTATTTCCATAGCATAATGTCTTATGGGATTTTGCTATGGGGAAGTGCGGCTGATTTAGAAACTATTTTTGTTTTACAGAAAAGGGCCATTAGAGCTATTTACAACCTAAATCCTCGGATAGCCTCGAGAGGCTCTTAAGCCGGCTATGTATGTTGGCCGCGCGAAGGCGAGCACCAACGTATAGACAGCCCCTTTTGTTTAGTCTCGCCATTGCTCGTCGACGCTCCCCTAGCTGGCCGAGTGCAGGCGCGCGACAACGTGTATACGGTTCGTTTGGCGTGACTTACCGCCACTCGGGATCGCTTGCTGTGACCGTCCACTTCGGAACAGTGGCGGGTTTTCTGCACAAATCAAAGGCGCTCGCCTGCACCTCGGTAAGCCGCGCCCACATGTTAGTTGGCCATGTCAGTTATAGCTTGGCGTCAGTGCCGGTGAGATGTTATGTTTTAATTAAGTTGCAACTTCAAAATAATTTCGACAATGTCACTGCTTTTTCTTTTATACAACTTTACTGCGGAGTACACTGACATGATAATTATATGCACTCATTAACTAAATAGCAGAAGCTGCAATAACTTTTACGTCGTCCATATCGGTCCAATTCTCAATGAAAAGTGAAAACTAATTACGGCCAACATGTGGATTGTGGATAGCACCACAAAAAATTACGAACATTGGCAGTTGGCATTGGTCTCTTTCGAACTTGACCGACGGTAGACTGTAGCATTCGTCATGTATTAATTTGTCTACGCTCGCGTTGGCTGAGACTTGGCCTACATGTATTGCCGGGGTTAGAGAAAAAGGGTTGGATTTAAAATCGTTTGGTTGGAATTTGGGGGAGTAAGTTTTTTTATTTGGTAGAGGTTTGGTCCCCGATTATAACAATACCACTCGCATTAAAGGTAATGCACCGTTGTCGAGAAAAAAAAACTACTATAACCTAAAATGTGTAAACATGGAAAACATATACAATATTACTGTGAAAGCTGGATAACATACAGAATTTTGTGTAAGTGCGATAAGTACGTAAGACCGTATCAAAAACTAGTGTCACGTTATTATTTATACTTTGGGATTTTTATTTTTCTATGGTCTATACTCTCTGTCAAGTGTCAAATCGTATGACGTAATAATTTTTATGAATTGCACCGTTGGTTGCTGTTCTTGCGTGGATGTGTGCTCTCCGGTGTATTATTGTAGCTTTTATCGTGCCCAGAAATACTTGAGCACACAGACGTACTTTCAGTTGTAATAGGTTAGAAGCGAAGGTAGCGTAGCTACCGGCACAATTGCTCAACAAAGTCCCAGCAGTCTCAGAAAATATACAAGGTCTTTCTATTACCAAGTTTAAATATTTTATTAAAATAACTGTGTAAGAAGGGTTATTAGGAGTATAATATAAATGAATACATGGTTGATAATGACCCCTGGGAATGAGGTGGTCGCTTCCAAGCTCCGACGCTTGACGGCTCCGTGGCTCAGTGATTTAGAAATGAGTTGCTGCGCTGGGTGCCGCGGGTTCGAATCCCGCACGGAACAAGTATTTGTATGGTCTACAAATAATTGTTACGGGTCTGGATGTTTGTCCTCTTGCAATTTATGTGTGTAAACTGCCTCCACGATACAGGAGAAAATCCTAGTGTGGGGGTAATGTCTATTAAATAAAAGAAAAGAAAAGAAGCTGTTTCTAAAATAAATTTTGCAAAAAGTTTGTACTACCTTTCACGTAAAATTTACTTTAAAAAATGCCCCGCTGGGTTTCCCGCTGGTTCTTCCCAGGACAGGTTTTTTCCCGAAGCAGTGGTTAAGTAAAATGACTTTCCATAAGAATTACATACATGTGAACTATATTGAATAAAAGATTATTCTTTTCTATTTTGTTCTATTCTTAATAGACGATAGATAAAGATTTCTCTGGGCCATTGCATCCACTTATCTTCCTTACTACTACGGACTATGTGCTCGTTTGTCTCCCTAATTCTTAAAAAAAAAACACACACACACACACACACACACACACCTGTACATGAGACACTCGCGTCCTTAGACCTTACCTTACCCATAGCCGATATTTCAATGTCAGAGACAGACGGATAGTTACGTACACGTTCAAACAAATCCGAAAACTGAGATATTGTGGGTTTGTACAAATATTCCGACTAGGATTCGAGTCCATATATTATCGTAGATTCGGTGTGCTACCTAAGTGGTCGCAGTTGAAATCATACTCGTTGAAAGTTTTATCGCCAAACTTATTTTCGTTCGATTTACGATTTCAATTTCATATAATATCTGACGAATAATAATTTGAAATTTCCACATTTTATTATTTTAAATAAATTTCTGCCATAAATATTTTATTGTACTCTTTCTTTTCACGGTTACCTCTTTGGCTGGTCATGTAGGGCTCATAATGGGGTTTGTTTTTAGTTTCATAATATTACATACCTTTATTAACGCTGCCTATCCAGTATTATATCCGGAATATGAAGATGATGCAGCACGCTATTGGTCAAAAAATAAAAATGAACCTTCCAATGACATACAAGAAAATAAAATACGAAACAACTATCTTAAAATGAAAGAAGACGATACAAAAATTAGACAAATAAAGAAGAAAGCAGCTGCACTGAGAAGTGAAGGCACTTTTAAAACATCAGGCAGTAAGATTTTCCAAGCTAAGGGTATTGAAGACGAAGCACGAGGTTTCCAGAAAGATCTGATGTTGAATTTGTTAGCAAACCGCAGAGCAAGGAGTGATTCGGACTCTCCGAGTTCTAGTTCCAGTAACGAGATGAAAAGTTGGAAGGAAGAGTGGAGAGATTTTTGGTTGCATAAGAAAATAGAAGCGCTCAACGCGTCTGCACCCACAGGAGACACGGTCAACATGGCCGCAGCTCGTAAGATTTTATATTTATTCTGTATATTATAGCACATGCGCTAAGTCAATAATACATACATAAATAATCTGAGGCAGAAGATGGGCAGCAGTATCTTTCTGATAAAAGCAAAAATCAATAAAGAAGCTGCGATTGCCAACCCGCCCACCAAGCGTGGAAACTATGGCAATATACCCCCATGAGCAACGACAATAATAAACGGCCCCCGGTCCCCGGCGGCCCCGCTATTCCTGGCCACGGTGGCGACCATGGTAACGGCGGGTCAGGGCGTGCTAAGAATCTCCAGTGGAGGTTCTTAGCACCTCCTGCCTGTCATACAGCTAGGTAATAGAGTTTTACTAAACTAGGTACAAGAGAGAATGGTGAGCTGAAGGTAGGGAAATTTGGAATAGGGCAACGAAACCCAAAGGGCCAGCAGCTGGCCGACTTCATGGAGAAAAAGGGACTTTTTATGATGAACTTTTTCTTCCAGAAGCGGGGAAGTAGACCTGGTCGAGCCCCGAAGGTTCGACAAAAAATGAGATTGACTTTATTATGACGACTAGAAGGCAACTGTTCAGTGATGTCTCAATGATCGCTAGAGTGAAAGCTGGTAGCGATCACCGAATGGTTAGAGGCACACTGAACTTAAATGTTAAGTTGGAAAAGTGATGTCTAATGAAGTCAACGCTTCGTCCTCGTCGTGCTCTAATCCAAAGTCTCGAAACCTTTCAGTTCGAGTTACAAAACCGTTTTCAGTGCCTAGAAGATTGCAATGCAGTGGACGATATGAAAGAAAAGCTAGTGGAAACTGTCCATGCAGTCGGAGCTAAGTTTAGCAAGACCCGCCGCAGAAGAACACAAAAACTCTCTGATCACACTCTTAATCTCATGGCTGTTAGACGGGAGATGAAGCTACATTCTTCAACAGATTTGACAGCATACAGGCATCTGAACAGACAGATCTCCAAATGCATGCGGCGGGACTTACGCAACTTCAATACAGCTCGTATTGAAGAAGAGATCGAGCGGAACCAAGGCTCCAAAGTCTTTGCCAGAGATCTGTCTGCCAGAAAGAGCCAATTGTCAAAGCTGAAGACAGAATGTGGCAGCATCGTTTCCGGGACACCTGAGATTTTGAGTGAGATTGAGAGGTTCTATGGGCAGCTGTACACGTCATCGTTGGAGCCACACGCAAGTGTGAGTAACGATCCAAGAGCGAGTCTCATCCGACACTATTCCGAAGATATCCCGAACGTCTGTCTGAGCGAGATTAGAATGGCTCTCCAGCACCTTAAAACGGTAAGGCCCCAGGCGAGGATGGAATTACAGCGGAGCTTCTGAAAGCGGGTGGAAGACCGGTACTTGAAGTCCTTCAGAGGCTCTTTAATTCCGTCCTCCATGGTGGCATTACACCGGAGGCGTGGAGCAGAAGTACGGTGGTCTTGTTCTTCAAGAAAGGTGACAACGCTCTCTTGAAGAACTACAGACCGATTTCCCTTCTGAACCGCGTCTACGTGCTGTTTTCGAGAGTCATTACGAATCGTCTCGCGCGCAGACTTGACGACTTCCAGCCTCCCGAACAAGCCGGTTTCCGAAAGGGCTTTAGCACAATAGACCACATACATACCCTTCGGCAAATTGTACAGAAGTCCGAAGAGTACAATTTGTCACTATGTCTGGCGTATGTGGACTATGAGAAAGCCTTTGATTCCGTCGAAATTTGGGCGGTGCTGCAGTCCCTTCAGCGGTGCCAAGTGGACTGTCGGTATCGAAGTGCTGAAGTATTTGTACAGTAGGGATACGATGGCTATCCGAGTACAGAACCAGAGTACGAAAACTATCCAACTGCAGAGAGGTGTAAGACAGGGTCACGTTATATCCCCAAAACTCTTCATCGCTACAATGGAAGACGTTTTCAAGCTTCTGGACTGGAAAGCATATGGTATTAACATCAATGGCGAGTACATCACTCACCTTCGATTTGTCGACGATATAGTCCTTATGGCAGAATCGCTGGAGGACCTAAGTACTATGCTCAATGACCTCAATAGTGTCTCCCAGCGGATAGGTCTTAAGATGAACATGGAAAAACCGAAAATCATGTTTAATGTCATCATTATCATGTCACACCTATACCGATAGTTGCTGGGAGCACAAAGCTCGAAGTTATTGACGAATATGTTTACCTGGGACAAATATTCTGACTAGGTAAGCCCAACTTCGACCGAGAGCTTAATTGACGGATTCAACTCGGCTGGGCAGCGTTCGGGAGATTACGAAACATCTTCTCGTCAGACTTACCTCAAAACCTCAAAACTAGATTGTACAACCAGTGCATGTTGCCAGTGATCTATGGATCCGAGACGTGGTTCCTTCACTGCTGGCCGTAGGAGGAAGCTCAAAGTCGTTCAGCGAGCTATGGAGAGATAGGGCTATGTTCGGCGTTTCATTGCGTGATAGACTTAATAACGAGGATATCCGCAGTAGAACCAAAGTCACCGACATGGCTCAAAGAATTAGTATGCTGAAGTGGCAATGGGCCGGTCATATAGCTCGAAGAACCGACAACCGATGGGGAAGAAATTATCGCCGTAAAAAAGGTATTTGAAGGTTATTCACTCATATTATTTCTATAGAGATATAGAGATGTAAGGAGATTCTTCGCACCATTAAAGAGGTGCCGGAAAGTTACGGCCATTTCCTTCTGTATTTTTCTCATTTTTCTCAGTCTGTCAATGTTTGCCTTCCATAAAACAATTATTTGGTAATTGGTATGGAAGGGAAAAGAGCTTGATAAATATTGTAAGGAAGTTCTAGCGTAGGTAACGTAGGTAACAAAAAACTGGCCAAGTTCGTGTCGGGCTACGCACAATGTAGAGGTAGGGTTTCGTAGTTGCCCGTCACAATACCTGGAATTTCATAATAAGTGAGTTCGCGGTTTGACCGCTGTAACGACTAAAAATAGGCCCAAATAGGTGGATTGTAACTAAAGGACTTATTTTCAAATCAGGCATAATGTATTCAAAAAAGTGTAAAAAAACTTTTCCATTTTGAAAATAATACAATTTACATCATATCATTCACATGCCAAGGTACAAAGATGATCATAGTTGACTATCTATCTATTATATATATTCCCGGCAGTGCAGAGTTTGGTAGCCAAGAGCCGTGGTAGCTCAGATGGTTAGCGCTCGCTGTAAGCTTCACAGTACTCGAGCAACCCGGGTTCGATCCCCGCCGGCACCAATGAAATTGTTAATTGCAATTTTAAGTGCTGATTTACCACGTGCTCGGCGGTGAAGGAAAATATCGTGAGGAAACCTGCATGTCTGAGAAATAAGAAAAAAAATATTTCGAAGACATGTGAAGTTCGCCAACACGCATTGCGGCAGCGCGGCGGACATTTCCTTGGCCTAAAACCCTCTCAGAAATGAGAGGAGGCCTGTGCCCAGAAGTGGGACGTAAATAGGCTGGAACTTTACTTTTTTTACTTTACCGCAAGTGCAACCCTAAGATATACACTTTGATTATATGACATGTATATAATCAAAGGATATACATATATGACCGTAACGAACCTTCACGTAAACTGCCCTAAATTATCCTGAGGTCGCCCGCGTAAACCCAGCGTGTGACGAATGAAACTGTACCTACGAGGCAATATGATTGTATGAATACTTTGAATGAAGCCTACAATAACTACCAACTAAAGATAAGAAAGATACTCCCTGCTTATCTCGTGAATGCTAAAAGAAATCTATAGTAGTAATGCATGTAAGTCGTTTCCTTCATACTCGTAAAATGTTTATTTTTAGCAGTTTACAATAACATTCCAAAGTTATAATGCAGCTAGTTTAATGTCATTTTCTATGGAGTTGTAACGAAATTTTCACTAATCGAAGTGTATTTTATAAGTTGGTCGACTATTACTCGTTAACTTCTTAATTCTACTTAACTGTGTATATATTTTCTCTTTCTTATTTTTTCTTTAAAAAAAAATATATATATATATATATATATATATATATATATATATATATATATATATATATATTTATTTATTCTGCAAATCGCCAGACGAATTTAGCGGTTTTAAACAATTTCCAGACATGAATAAAGTTTACCAACTAATACGACAAAAAAGTCTTATGCGTAGCCATAAGTGCGAGAAAGATAGCTTATCGAAGCATGCCGGCAGCGGATGGGGTCCTAAGCTCCTCATGCTGGTTACTTAGAAATATATATTTTTTTAAGATTTTAAGATTAAATTCTTGTTTTAGGATTTAGCGTGTATGTATGTACATATCTATGTATATAGTTAATATTTAGTTTTAGCCCAGTTTTAAGGGGCAGGCGTTATTAAAAATTACTCAATAAACACGTGATTAAAATTTGAGATTGCAAAAAGTATATTTTTTGGGAACTAAAAAAAAATATTTTTGGAGAGGTCTGGTAATACTTTATAACCGACAAAAACGTCTGGGATTATTTTTTTTGAATTATATAAAAACTAAATTAAAAGATAAAAAAGAAATCAAGTTGCCAAAAGAACATTTTTTTGAAATTTTTTTTTGCAAATGTTATATACTGCGCAGTAACAAAATAACCGCAAACGCTCTGCCAGACTCGCGGTACTGGATTCGCCAATTGACGAAATTATATTTTTTCACAATTTCAACTTGTCCAAAGAACCTTCCCAAAATTCGTCGCCAGCTCTTAGTCTATTAAAATATTTCAGGGCTTGCAAACTATGTTTTTTGTAAAATTAAAACAAGATCTTATTTATTTATTTAAGTTAAACTTTATATACACACGTGGTATATAGGCGATCATAATTCCTAAGGCATTCTCTACCAATCTACCTTGGGGTAGATACAGAGATAGATTGAAGTAGGTCTAATAAAAAAGATAATATGAGAATAGAAAAGTAAAATAACAATTTTTTTTATTTCGTGTGCGGTTCTTTATTGCTTGCTACAAATATGTGAACTATTTATATTTAAGGACCATGGGGCGTGCCCTGCGGTGATCCAAACCAACACGATATGCCGTGGGGAACTTGCATGTTACCGATGGAATGCGAAGGAGAGTTTCGTATATACAGAGGAGATTACTTCTGCGGTCGGACTCAATTCGTTTGCTGCGCTCTACAGTTAACCGGTTACGACATGTATCAGGGCTTCGATAATTCCTTGGCTGCTTCTAGTATGGAAACAGATTCAGAAGAAAAGAAAGATACCTCCAAAGAAAGAAGACGCAAGAAAAGAAAGCGAGATAAAAAGAAACGTAAAAATGACCGATTCAAAAGAAAACGTAAAATCAAAAAGAGCATACAGAATATAATAAGAGAGATAAGAAAAATATTGAACAGATTGTACAGGAACGGGACATCGATAAGAAAGAAGAAGACAAAGCAACTGAAGAATTTTATCAAGGAGTTGAAGAAGCAATACAGAAAAGACCGACAGTCCGTAAAGGAAATTCACGGGATGGAAATGATAAAAGTTGATGCGGCGCTTATGAAGAAATTGAATGAAATAAGGCAAATGAACCGGAATTTTATAAACAATAGTACGTTTAGAGATATAATTGTGAATGGCACAATGAATAAGACACAGGCGAGGATGTTGGTAGAGGCGTATCCTGAGTTAGACAATTGGATTGGAACCCGGCGCTCTGGGGACTTGGATCCGCCAACAGACTACTTGGATTATGATATTGAGTATGGATATTTATACTATTAAATATTTAGTTATTATTTCATCTGTTCTCAATTCGTCGATTACTCATGACGCTGTACCATTATAATTTTTATCAAATTATATACGATAACAAGCAGCGTCTTTGAAGCAAGGCAAAAAATGTATTTGTAAAGAGTTGAAACCCAAATATCTTCCAGAAAAATAGTCAGCCTCATTGAAACTTTTTTTTAAAACAAATTTTGGATGCTTTTGATGTAGCTACTACGTTGTCTTGATTTTATCTTGTTCTTTTTTATATAGGATAAGGGTGACAAACGAGCACACAGTCCACCTGATGGTAATTGGTTGCTGCGGCCCGTAGACATATCCTCTATTAAAAATCAAAATGCAGATGCGTTGTCACCCGTGAGGACTCTTCCAGTAAAAAGGGTTTCCGGTTCTCTCCACTCACCGTACGAAACACAGCAGCGTTAAGCTGCTATTTTATGCTGGTATTCTGTGAGAGCGTGGTCCTTCCCCGGTCGAGCCGACCCATTCGTGCTACAACTATACTACTAATTTAGCTGCAGAATGGCTCTACCACGTACAAAGTTCTTTTTCCACTATTTAAAAAAAACTAAGCAAAAATAATTAAGTAGATATACTTAAAATATATACCTAGGAGTCCATCTGGGTAGGTCCCACTCTCTTACCTATTTCTGCCACCAAATAGTAATGTTGGCACTACTGTGTCCCGGTCTGAAGCGTATATAGCCAGTATGGTTACAGGCTGTATGGCATTCTATCATAGTCTTCAGAAGTATTCTTCCTTGTTTGAAGTTGTCCGAAGGTGTCCATGGGCTGAGGCAGCCATTTACGATCAGGTAGACTAAGGCCCGTATTAATAAACGTTACTCAGCTCAAGTACACGCACTTAAGTACGATCTTGAGATCATGATCTTATTAATGAACATATCATAAGATGCGGTTTAGGTTTACTATATCAGCTGAGTGCCACGCTGATTAGTAAACGAAACTCGGCTCTCAAGTGTGTGCACTTGAGTGCAAGTCACAGGACAGTATTCCTAAGTACAGCGTTTTGAGATACTGCTTTTGTGTTTTTATTATTTAGCAACGGTCTTGAGATGCTGATATCGTAATGAGGGCGTATCAAATGACTACGCGCTTGAGTTCGTCGTTGAGTAACGTTGAGTAACACGGGCCTAAGTTCATTTGTCACTTCAATTTAATAAAAAAGAATTATTGGCTATTATTCAAATTAATATCCTCAACCAGGTAAGAAGGAAGATTTTAATCACCGTGATTATAAATATTTATACGAATGCCTTTTATTCTTAAATTAATTAAACATACTTTATTGTACACCGATAAATAAGACGAAAAAAATACAAATTAAAAAAAGGTACAATTGGTAAGTAGCAGCTAAATGCTTACCAGCGATATCTACCAGGCAACCAGATAGCAGAAGATATAATGACCTGCGAGTAAGGGTAAAGGTGTAAGCAAGTGCATTCTTTATAAGTCGTGGTTCGAGCCGGCCCATACGTGCAACGGCAAAAGCTGTCGCGTTATTACCTTCGAGGAATATGACTGAATGCTTGGTGTCCAGTAAAAGGGGCTCCGGTTTTCTGCACTCATCATACGAAACACAATAGCATTAAGCTGCTACTTGAAGTTGGTATTCTGTGAGAGCGTGGTCCCTCGCAGGTCGAGCGGACCCATTCGTGCTACAACCACCATATAGCTGTAGGCTCTACCACGTAATTCTTTTGCTGATATTTATTTTTATAAATGTTTCCTTTTATTTTGAATATTTCTACCTACTTCTTAATGTATATCATGTGAGAGTATTTATGTCAATAAAACTTATGTCTTATTCTACTGGACGGTAGGTATAAAAACTTTCATACCCAAAAACTGCCTCATAGAAGACATATTTGCAATAGTTGCGGTTGGCAAACGCCATTTTTCAAGTTGAATTGTTATCAGGAAGAACTTGCTGTCCATCTCTCTTACGGCAACCACGCGATGATAATTTTTTTATAGGATAGGGCGACAAACAAGCACACAGTCCACCTGATGGTAAGTGGTTGCTGTGGCCCATAGATATCTACATCTATCCTCCGATGCGAATCAAAATGCAGATGCGTTGTCACCCGTGAGGACTAAGACGGAATGCCTCTTTTCCAGTAAAATGGGTCTCCGGTTCTCAACACTCACCATACGAAACACAGCAGTGTTATGCTGCTATTTTACGCTGGTATTCTGTGAGAGCGTGGTCCTTCCCCGGTCGAGCCGACCCATTCGTGCTGCACCTATACTACTAATATAGTTGCAGCGTGGCCCTACCACGTTGATATGGGGTAGTGGAGTCTTACACGCCACCAGTACACAGCGTGAATGAATGACTGTATTGAAGCAGGACTCCGAAGCATATGGTGTAACTTATTTGACTTTCAAAAAGTGTTCTGTAGCGGCCAAAAGTTTTTTGATATAATACTCATAAAATTGTCCAAGGATTAAGGGTCAGCAGGAAATGTCACTGTTTATTCTTATATTTTGATTTTTAGAGCGTTCCCACTCTAGATGGAGTGAAGACCTGGTATGACATGCAGAAAATACAGGATGCAGGTGGCTTAGGACTGTGCTTTGTGGCATTTCTTGGGGGAGGCCTATGTTCAGCAGTGGACTTGTGAAGGGCTGTAATGATGATGAGGTAGGAATCTTTTCCTGCCTAGCAGTTCGTCGCTATTAGGGTGTTACTAAATAGCAGCGCCGGAAGCCGGTATACTTACAGGCTGTGAGGCATTCCTTTTTAGTGCTCAGGAGTCGCATGTGTAGCCTTGTTTGTTTAGAGTTGTTTGCAGGTGTCCATGGACTGCAGTATCCACTTACCATCAGGTGGACTGTGAGTTCGTTTGTCACTTCACTTTTATAAAAAAGTATTATCCACACTTATTGCTTTTATTATTAATTTTGATTAAATATGTACATAAATATTTAATAATTTCTAACATATTATAATCTAATTTTACCGGCTCCTTGTGACTGTAAGCGCTTTAAAGCACTTGAAACTCAGTCGAGTGCTTGAATTAAGTCAAAGTTAAATGCGATAAAATTCGTAAATTAGTTCTATTTAACTTAAGAATATATCAATATCTCTAAAATCGGTTTTGTCTTGTGTGGGTTTGTGGTTTATTAAAACTGATATAATAACGGTGGCTATCCTGAAAATTTCCTTGGAATGCCGACTTCCCGGAGTGTTGTTGCTTTACGTCAGCTGCTATATACCAGAGAGACTATCATTCACAATAAAATATTAAGAATTACTACATTTTATATGTGGTAGAGCCACGCTGCAGCTATAATATAGTTATAATATTATTTCACATATCATCCCGTGGGTGTTGTAAGAGGCGTCTTTCAATAACGACTAAAAATAAAAAATAAACTGGTTGACAACACTCTTGCCTAGCGTGGCAACTATGGCAAATATACCCCTTATGAGGCAATCTATGGGGGTTCAGCAGTGGTCTTTAATAGGCTAATGTAACGGTTCCTGATCCTTTAAGCTACTGTATGCACTGTGATAGGCGCCACTCTGAGCCTTTACTTCACGTCACTCTCGCAAATTACCTACTTGTCTTTTTCTTGACTCCGCTTTTTTTTAAAGCGTTATCCCCATACTAGGATTTTCTCCTGTATCATGGAAGCAGTTTACATACATGAATTGCGCAAGTACCAACTTCCTGACCCGGAAAATTATTTGTAGTCCATACAAAGGTTAAGGGTCCGTGACCGTGGGTAATGTAAAGCGCCTAAAGCGTGCTGGAAATAAAAATAAAAACGTTAAATATAAACGCGATAAAATACGTAAAATTATTTTTATTCAATGTGTAATATTTTCGTTATAAGAAATCATCACACAAATAAATGTATTTACGGAATTCAAGTCCGCGGCCCTCAGCGCCTCAGCTTCGTACACGCAGCGTTATCCGCACCTCGGGGCGAACACATTAACCGCTGGGAGATCTACCCTTTTCCTGTCACAGTCGAAACATCATTGACCAAATACTTCATACGATAAAATAAATACAAAAAAGTTATGTGAAATAAATGCCACAAATATTTTATCGTTCTAAAAATTACTCAAGATCACAGACCAACAAATAAAGAGAGACGGAGCTCTGCGTACATTTCAAATGAGAATGGGCCTACCACAAATTGTGGCGTAACTTAATGAAATACATGTCGATTTATTCCTTATAATCAATAAATTACAATACTAATATTAGTTTTACTGCATCTAACGGGAATACTAATAAATTAACAATTAAAATATGAATATCACAATAACCTAAAAACAAATTTAAAACGATTGTCCAGTAGTTTTCACCGGTGTTATAAGTTAAAATAGTGCACTGGACAGTAATTAATAGTATAAAACAAAGTTGTAGGTAAACTTAGCATTTATAGGCTGTTTAAGATTGATGGAAAATCCTTTTAATAGTTCGTTCTTCGTTACACGAATTTTTTTTTTCATATTACATTAGCCAGAACACGGATATCAAAACAACTCTTTTTGTTACAGATTTCATGATTCTGGTTAGATTTTCATAAAATCTTTAAGCCGTTTACTATAGTAAATTGGTATCTTTTTATGTGTAATAAAAATAAGTTACGTTAAAAACCAGCGAAGTGCGAGTCGGATTCACGCACGAAGGGTTCCGTACCATCGTACAAGATTTAATACGATGTAGGTACTTTTTTATTTTATCATAATTTTTATTTTGCGAATATAGCAATACAAACTCTGTAGGCACTTCAAGCGTCAAAGCGTACAAAGAAAAATACTTTTTCTAGTAGGGGAGCCCCCTTTTATTTTTAATTTATTTTTATTTTTATTGTTTGTTGTTATAGTGGCAACAGAAGTACATATTCTGAGAAAATATTAACTGTCTACCTATTACGGATCATGAGATACAGCTCACTGACTGACAGATGGACGGACGGACAGCGGAGGTTTAGTAATAGGGTCCCGT